CCTCTGGTTAAGGAGGCTTTTCCACAGATAAAACTGAAACCATCTGTTCCTGCATGCTAAACATTATAAGGTACTGTCCATAGTTTTTAGGACTCCACTTAAAGGGATATTCCGGCGTAAAATTAAGTAAGGATCAAACACACCGTAACACTGAGTTAGACACATCGAGAGATGAGTGTTGCTGACCGCTTGCTTCTCTAGTTATACCAACTTTAGTAATAAACGCATGATAGCAATACAGAGAGCCACACGCTCAACCAAAACGCCACTCTATAGCCACAAATAATGCTCAGAACAACACCTAACTTTATCAACTGTACATACAGTGGATATAAAAAGTCTACACTCCCCTGTTCAACTGCTAGGTTTTCATGATGTAAGAAAATGACAGCAAGATAAATATTTTCACAACTTTTTCCACCTTTAATTAGACCTGTAACCTGTACAATGCAATTGAATTACAAACTAAAATCTTTAATCTTTAAACTAATACTTTGTTGCAGCACCTTTGGATTTTATTACAGCACTCAGTCTTTTGGGTAGGAGTTTATCAGCGTGGCACATCTTGACGTGTCAATATTTGCCCACTCTTCTTTGTGCCAACACTGACTGGTATTTGTAACTGTTCATAATTCCCTCCACCCTGACTAAGGCACCAGTTCCAGCCGAAAAAAAAACAGCCCCAGAGCATGATGCTGCCACCACCATGCTTCACTGTGGGTATGGTGTTCTTTTGGTGATGAGCAGTGTTGATTTTGTGCCAAATATACCTTTTGCAATGATGCCCAAAAAGTTCAACTTTGGTTTCATCAGACCATAACACATTTTCCCACATGTGTTTGGGAGATCTTAGATGTCTTTTTGCAAAATTAAGCCGGGCTTTGATGTTTTTCTTTGTAAGATAAGGCTTCCGTCTTACCACCCTACCCCATAGCCCAGACATATGAAGATTGTTGTCACATGTACTACACAGCCAGTACTTGCCAGAAATTCCTGCAGCTCCTTCAGTGTTGCTGTCGGCCTCTTGGTAGCCTCCCTGACCAGTTTTCTTCTTGTCTTGTCATCAATTTTGGACAGACGTCCTGTTCTTGTTAATGTCACCATTGTGCCATATTTTCTCCACTTGATGATGACGGTCTTTACTGTGTTCCATGGTATATTTCATTCCTTGGAAATTCTTTTGTAGCCTCACCTGACTGATATTTTTGAATAATGAGATCCCTCTGATGCTTTGGAAGCTCTCTGTGGACCATGGCTTGTGCTGGAAGATGTGGCTACAAAAATGTCAGGAAAAGCTACTAGAACAGCTGAACTTAATTTGGGGTTAATCAGAGGCACTTTAATTGGTGACAGGTGTGTGCTGACTCCAATTTAACCTGAGTTTGAATGTTATTGGTTAAATCTGAACACAGCCACATCCCCAGTTATTAAAGGGTGTGCACACTTATGCAACCACATGATCTCAGTTGTTTATTTTTACTTCACCTCCCTGAAAGATTTCTGTTTGTTTTTCAATTGTGTAGTACAGGTTATAGGTCACATTAAAGGTGGAAGAAGTTGTGAATTTATTTATCTTCATGTAACTATTTTACATGACAAAACTTGGCAGTTGAACAGGGGTGTGTAGACTTTTTATATCCACTGTATAGGGTCCCAGCCATGGTACTAGCCTTCATACATCTTTTTAGCTTTGCCTGATTTCTTTAGCAAAGAGACTAAACACAACTCACCTACTCTCTTCCAGCAGCCGCTTGTTTGTAGCGAGACCTTCGGGAGAGTCCATCAACTGCAGCGGGGGTATGCAGCTCAAGGAAGAACATTTATGATCATTTATTTATCATTTCCTTGAAGTAATAATCATCATATTAATCATTTTGCACTGCAGACGCAGTAGTTCTTCTGCCTTTAGCGTCTCTGTCTGATTGCATTTCCATGAAGAAATGATGAAGAAAATATGGTTCTCAGTGTGACATTTGAAAACCTCTGCAATCTTTAAAAAAATATTTCAGAAGGAGAATTTAAAGTTAAACTAACAGTTTGAGGGTTTACATGAAGAAAAATGAAAAGCCAAAATCAGTCCTGAGTGAGTCTGTAAACTTTGAGCCATCCTCTTTGTTCTCCTGTAAGAAAAAATATTCGTTCACTTGTTGGCATTTATGTTTGGTCCCCTCAATTATTTCCTTCTTTCTCGGGTAGCTCAGTGTCTTTTCTACATACTGATGCTGCCATCTACTGTTTTGCATTTCCTACTACAACCAGTATGGAGGAGAGACTGACACTGACACAGGACTAGATGTGGAAACAGGCTTAACAATGATTCCAGATATACATTACATAAATAATCAGCCAACAGGTCCCGCTCCTCTTTAGAGCAGAGGATGTGGTAAGATCTCTAATAAGAGAGAGACCACCAGTGTTCCACCAAGTTCCAATCAGGTTTTCCCTTTGCATGGTTCAGTTTTAACCTCATTTGCCAATGCAGTGATTCTCAGACAAAGATTTTTGGGAGGGATTTTGAGCTCATGCAGTTATTTCCAATCCAGAGTCCTGTCTGTTTTTAATGCAGTGCTGCCTGAAGGTTTGAAGATCAGAACCATCTAGTCTTGGTTTTGGTCCTTGTCCCTTTACTACAGAGATTTCTCCAGATTCTATGAATCTGATATTATGGTCTGTAGATGATGAAATCCACTCACTCTTCCACATTTGACACTCAGGAACATTATTCTGAAACTGTTGAACTATTAGCTCACACAGTCTCTCACAAAGTGGTGAACCTCTTTGATTGTCCCTTTTTATACCCGGTCATGTTACTAACCTATTGTAAATATACCTCATTAGTTGGAGATGTTTGGTTGTTCCTTTGACAACTTTTTCCAACTTTTTTTGTTGTTGGAATCAAATTTAATATAAGCAGAAAAAAAATCTGGGTCACATTGAAGAATAATTGCGCTACGTTCACACTGCAACTTATGATGCACAATTTCGATTTTTTGTTAAATCCGATCTTTTTGTGCTGTCGTTCACATTACAACAACGAATGCAGCATCTAATGCGAACGGAAGGCGTCCCTGAAGTGACACGCATGCGCACAGAGCACGAATTGTATAAAGCACAAAATTTCCATGCCTGTTTGTGTTGTCGAAGAATGGTGAAGTTTGTCACATATTGATGACGCAAAGGTCGGATGAACCGATTTATATCCACATACAAGAGAGGCCTGGGTCGGATTTGAAAAAATCAGAATTGCACTGTTCACTCTTACATGAAAAAATCCGATATGTGTCACATGCGGTTAAAAAATCGGAATTGACCTGCAGTGTGAACATAGCCTTAGTGCAGCGGTTTTCAAGTCCAGTCCTCGAGGCCCACTGTCCTGCATGTTTTGGATGTTTCCCTGCTCCAACACACCTGATTCAAATGATCAGCTCGTTATCAAGCTCTGTATTGACTTAATAACGAGCTGATCATTTGAATCAGGTGTGTTGAAGCAGGGAAACATCCAAAACATGCAGGACAGTGGGCCTCGAGAACTGGACTTGAGAACCACTGCCTTTGTGGATTTAAAAAAAGGCTGTTGTAACTTAATTGTCCAGAAGATGGCGCTTTTTCCCAACATATTGACATGTTAGTCCTAGTTACTCTGCATCAAGGTCCTCATATTTTCCAGGTCAGGCTCCATGAAGTGGGCTGTTGCTGCCATTGTAGCCTCACCTGTCTGAGTGTAAAGTCATGGCTGAGGTGTTGTTTTAAAGCAGGTGTGTCAGAGCTGATGTGTTCGGGTGAGCCACAGGAATAGACTCTGACCTGAAGCTTTAAGCAGTTTAATGCTATTTAGCAGGACACCTCAGTGTGAGCAGTGCAATGGTTTTATCCGGAGACCATCCTCATTGGGCTCTAATCTCTTCCTGCAGTGTGGATTAAAAGTCCAGAAAATGCCTCCAGAGCCAGAGAAGGTCTACGTCCTGATGAGCAGAAATGTCAGGAAGTGAAGAGTCAGAGGGCAGAAAGTTCCATCAAAGCAAGGAAATGAGACTCACCTGGTCAAAATAAAAACATCATCCTCAGGTCACGTGCGCTGGTTTAAATCCCTTCAAACAGTTAAGTCATGCTGCAGTGACTGTGTTCTGCTGTGTGAAGGCTCAGCGTGTTTTCTGCTGTGGACCTGTGGATGTATTTAACAGACCTCTCATGGAAACTCTGAGACTCTCAGCTGAACAGTCATCATCCTGCTCACTCCAACAGAAAGCATGAAGCTGATCACAGTCAGTCAGACCTGCACTACCTGAGGAGGCGGTCCTCACTCCAAAATAAAAGCTTCATATTGACTAATAAGTCCCTTGTTATCTCCAGTTCATTGAAAGCTCTTGTTATGTCCCTCATATATCTCATTCAGCTGTTTCTGCATGAATCTTGTCAACAGGCCTTCTGCAGTTCTGGGCTGTACTTAAGCGCCATGCTGTGAGCTATGATGAAATGTGTCCTAATGATTTGACATGAAGTGGTAGAACCTCAAAATAAAAATCTAGACTCACAGGAATGTCCTGTTTGAAAATGTGTTTGAGTTCTATAAAACTTTCTGTATTGCACGAGGGATTAGCTACTCCTTTTAAACGTGTAATACACTTAATGATACAGATCACAATGGAAGCAGATAATGCTGCCTAAAGAAATCCAGTAAGCTTGGTTCTAAGTTTTTAAATATGTGTGTTCAAATTTACTGACATGTGTACAAGGGGCACGATAAACAACACAAGCTCAAGCTCTTCATATAAGCTTAAAGAGTGCTCTCTGTAAGAAAATACAAAGAGTATATAATGACTTAATGACTGTCATTAAGTCATTATATCATTATGTCACGAACAGCCGGTCAAAAAAGTAAATATCTAATGCAATATTTATTAGAGATTTGATATTTTTTGCACATGCAACTTCAGTAGTTGTCGTCCTCATGTTGTCCCCTTCATGTGCTTTGAAATGCACTTTACTCAATAAAACAAGTGGATTTATGTTCAAGATTAGAGTCTTTAAAGGTCTTTTTAATATAAAAATTTGCTTGGTTTGAATTCTATAAAAGTGGGTCGCGACTTAAGGGCCATGGGAAAATGTGGGTCCCAGAGTGAGACTAGTTGAGAACTACTGACTTAATGTGTTTATATTCCTGACTGTATGAGAAAAATTAGATACATTGACATTGACACTGAACTAACATTGAACTATAATTGTTTTATAAATGAATAGGAAAGTATTGAATGGGCTCAATGATAGCTGCTAGAATAGATAGCTGCTCCTGTACTGTTATTACTGCACATTATAACACACTTGTTTCCTAAGAAAAGTGGCGCCCAGTGGTGTTGGAATGTGAGGTGTCAAAAACGGATGGCCTCTTTATAGAGCAGCCTCTGCCATCAGTGTGTGAATGTGGTGTAAAAGCACTTTGAGTGGTCTACTTTGACCTGGTAAATATTCATATCTACTTTTATCTAGTTATGATGACTTAATGTCTTCCTTACTTAACTTTATATCAATTCATGCTCACCTCTGTATACTAGGGCTGTCCCAATACGATATTAATATTGGATATCGGTCCGATATCAGCCAAAAAACAAATATCGGATCATATCGGCCTACATCTAAAATCTCGGATATCAGCACTCCGATACAAGCAGTCCATTCCAGACTCCACTCCGGCACATTTAACTAACAGCGCCCGGATCCAGCATGCAGAGTCCACATGATCACAACAACAGTGTGTACTAAGGTACTTACAAAGTACCAAAGAGTAGGAGTGATGTCGGGCGTGTGGCAGTATTTTTCGTTAAAGTACGAAAAAGACGTCACAGCTGAGTGCAAAACTTGTCATGCACAAATTTGTGCCAATATCGGATCAATATCGGTATCTGCCGATACTGAGGGCTACAATATCGGTATCATATCAGAAGTAAAAAAGTTGTATCAGTACACCCTTATTGTATACTTTAACATTTTGTGTAAAGTTCATCACTAATGTGGACTTAAACTACACAACAAAACTAAGAGTCAATTTATATGAACTTTTTTACAAAATCTGTATTTATTTATTTTTTTTAAGTACTTTTAATTCACTTTATTCAAATCACTTTACATCAACTTTACACAAATTAGTTTTGTTTTTCAATTAAACAAATTTATATGAACTAAAATACCCTTGACAGGAATATATGTCTTTTTTTTTTTACTTATATGGATATTTTTGAGAAAGACAAAGTTTGCTATAAGGACTTAGTAGAAAAGTATTCAATAAATTCAGATTTGGATAAGAAATAAATAAAGCTTTTATGTCCTTGATTTAAAATACTCTTTTGTTAAAGAAAAAGAAGTGTTTGACACACATTAAGTCAAAGCTAATCACACAGAGTCAAAATGACCCTTTTTAAGAGCTCAGTCTTACTCTGTGGTAGGTAGGCCTAGTTTTTTTTATATGCCAGGTTGAAGCCCTGGCCTTTATTTTGAAAAGCCTCACCGGAAGCAGGGTGCGGGTGGTGATTGATAACTGATCTGCGTGGACTCCACACATAGGAGACGAAGCAGCGGGGTAGTCTTCATCAGTCAGCGGAGGTCTTCCGCAGCTGAGCCCGCCTCTCTCCTCCTCCGTCCCGACCCGGCTCTCTCATGGTCCCGGCTGTTCCCGCACACTCCCACCGTGCCCAAACCCCCCCGCACACACACTCTGGACCTCTCAGTTCCTCCCCGGTGGTGCTCCAACCCTCCGTGTGAGAATGACGGGCGGCCGCTTCGACTTTGACGATGGGGGGACGTACTGCGGGGGCTGGGAGGACGGGAAAGCACACGGACACGGCGTATGCACCGGACCCAAGGGCCAGGGAGAGTACTCCGGCTCCTGGTCTAATGGCTTCGAAGTCGTGGGAGTCTACACCTGGCCCAGCGGGAACCTGTTCCAGGGATACTGGGGTCAGGGGAAGAGGCACGGACTCGGAGTGGAGACGAAGGGGAGGTGGATTTACCGGGGGGAGTGGGCCCACGGGTTCAAGGGTCGCTACGGGGTCCGACAGAGCCTGAACACACCGGCCAGGTACGAGGGCACCTGGAGCAACGGACTGCAGGACGGCTACGGCGTGGAGACGTACGGGGATGGAGGTGAGGGGGCGGGGCGCGGTGATGTCAGACTGTTGGAAAGTTTTCAAGTTTTTTTAATTAAGAGTAGATTTATTTGTTTATCATAGAGAGATGATATTGTGCTCTCCCCTAACCTATAAATACACCTGAAGTTGAAATGTTGGATGTCCACTTAAGTGTTCAGACTGTAAGGCAGTGATTTTCAACTGGTGGGTCCCGACCCAAAAGTGGGTAGCAGACACGTTCTGGATGGGTCACGAACGGCCGGTCAAAAAAGTAAATATTTAATGCGATATTTATTAGAGATTTGATTTTTTTTTTTTGGTTCAAGTAACTTCAGTAGTTGTCGTCCTCATGTTGTCCCCTTCATGTGCTCTGAAATGCACTTTACTCAATAAAACAAGTGGATTTATGTTAAAGTTTAGAGTCTTTAAAGGTTTTTTAATATAAAAATTAAATTTGCTTGGTTTGTATTCTATAAAAGTGGGTCGCGACTTAAGGACCATGGGAAAATGTTGGTCCCAGAGTGAGACTAGTTGAGAACCACTGCTGTAAGGTAAGGGTGTGTTGATCTAATCCCAGGATGAGACTGCCGGCTGCTCTTTAAAAAGTCACAACAGAAATCAGAGATTTGATCAAACCACTGGTGAATCTCCTAATTAGGGCATGATAAATGTGACACCTGTTTTTTTTTTGTCACTGAGGACTTCCTGTCCTGTCAAACTCTCATCGGGGTCAGATTTGGGGTCAAAACATACGACCATATTTCATCATTTGTCATTTTAAATAGACAAATGCTGGTTAACTCAGGCTTTGATCCAGCATCAATACAGGAATGGTCTAAAACACCCAGTAGTATGCCAGACATGTAGGTGGTGATACAGTGTAAGCAGTGTGTCATATCAAACACCATCGAAGAACACTGTGAACAAGCATCATTAGTAAACAGTGTCTTAATAGCTGTGGACGCAGTAATGATTTCAAACTACTGAACATTATTTACACTCCCCTCACCAGGGTATAATGGGGTCTTACTGAACAAGTACTGAAACAGTGTAGTTGAACCTTGAGCCCACCATCTTTATGCATGTAATATACATAATATACATGTAAACAACAAGGGCAGCATTTTTGAAGAACTTTTCATTTTGCTGTTCAAACAAACTCTGAAATGACTCGTTTTTTTCTTTGAAATCTCCACCTCACAATGTTAGGTCATATTCAGTAGTGACTCAAAGCTCTGTTTTCTGTTGACAAAGAGCCGCCATTAGAGGAAAAAAAAAACAAAAAAAAAACTTTGTTCCAGAATCCTGGGTCCCAGAGTGTGTTGGATTCTGGCGTGCTGGGTCTGAAGTGCTGAAGTGTCTTAGGCAATGTTCACACAGCAGGTCAATTCCGATTTTTAACCATATGTAACACATATCTGATTTTTTTATATAAGTGTGAACGGTGCAATTCTGATTTTTTCGAATCTGACCCAGGCCTCTTTTGTATGTGGACATAAATCGGATATGTATCCAATGTGACTGCAGTGTGGACGCCAGTGTTGTTTTCGTTAACGATGACGAAAATATTTCGTCAACGTCATCGTCAACGTCATCGTCAATGAAAACAACACTGCAGAATATATGTTTAACGTTTGACTGACGAAATGCTCATGAATTTTGCAACTCTGTTCTTCATCCTCCGCTAACGTTTTTGTCTAGCCTCGTCTTGTCAACGTGAACGCACATCCGCTCGTCACATGACATTTAGTCATGGAAAAAAAGGGCATTGACGAAATATTTTCGTCAACGAAAACAACACTGGTGGACGCTCAGGTAGCGTTCATCCGACCTATACGTCGTCAATATGCAACAAACGTCACCATTGTTCGACAACACAAACAGGCACGGAAAGCAATTTGTGCTTTGTGCGCATGCGGGTCAATTCACGAATGCATTCTGTTCACAAAAGATGCCGCATTCGTTGTTGTAATGTGAACGACCGCACAAAAAGATCGGAATTAACAAAAAATCCGAATAGTGCATCATAACCTGCAGCGTGAACCTAGCCGTAAAGTAGCTGAAATAAAGCGTCTCAGATTAGGGTTTTTTAAAGACTCTAGGACAGTTTTTGTAAAAGTTTTTTTCTTCTTTTTTTTATTTAGCTAAAAATGAACTCAAGCTGCTAACAGAGCTTTCAGGGGGCTAATATAAACCTGAACACAAGCAGGAAACACCCTCTTTACATGTTGTTCTTTGTGTCCACACTCAGTGATACAAAGATAAATGTGCATTTTCGAATGTGATCTGCACTTTGTGGTTGGTGTGTGTTCAGGAACTTCAGTAACATTTGAGCTGAGATCTGGTTCACCTTGCTGCTCCGTGAAGGTAAAACACACTCTGACAGGTGTTCTCCTAGAAGCACCTGTTACCTGAGGTAACTGGATTAGCTGAGTGCTGACATGAACACAGACAGCTCAGAGCTAACATGCAGTCTGCTGCCTGTCTTTGATTTATTACAGTCATCTCCATGTATGTGGCTGGCTGTTTATGGGGTATTTCTCAGGTTCAGGACTATTTTAATGATGCGTCATGAAGCTAACAGGAACTTAGCTGCAGTTTGTCAGTGTACATGATAGAGACACAGAGCCTGTTATCAGCTAAAAGGATAAATGAATTAAAATACTTTTATTCACATAAGACATGTGAGTTCAAACATTATGAAATAAGAGGGTGTTATGAAATCAGAGAGATGTTATGAAAGCAAAGTTACATAATGAAATATAAAAGACACATTATTGAACCAAAATGATACACTGAAAACAAATTGGCATAAAATAGATTGTGAAATCATGAAAAACTCGCTGCAGTATAATAAGAAATGATCTTTTGTGATAAAAGTAATATAATTAAAAAAGAATTTATGACAGAGACACCACATTGTGAAACGAATGTGAGATCTTTTATATCAAATGGAAACTATGTAGTGGAAAAGTGAACAAAAATAAAAGTGCAACTGTCAACATGAAAGGACATATTTGAAAATAGAATTGATGTTAAAAACTGAATTGTTAGTCTGAAACATTAACTTTACAAAAAGGTAACACAATGGAGTACAGTCCCAGTTTAGATGTTTTGTAAAATTTAGATAAAGATAACATTTGATGGTTTCCAAATCATTTCAAGTCCAATTGAAAATATCCTAAAGACAATATTTCAAATGCTGAAACAGATTTTTCCTTTTGGTTTATTTAAAATATTTGCTCACTTTCAACCTGATTCCAGTGTCATGTTTACGTCACTGTGCTTCATCAGCTCTTTTTTTTTCCATCACTCTTTAAACGTTAGTGAACCCAGCAGACCAGATCCTGGAGTTTGAAAGTCAAATGTTGTCCCATTCTTGCCTGATTTCTGAATTTCTGCTGCTCAACAGTTCAGAGTCTCCTTTGTCGTATTTTTGGTGTCATGATGCTCCAAATATGTTCAATGGGGGACGAGTCAAGACTACAATCAGTTCAGTTTCTCAGCAGGACTCTTCTACTACAGAGCCATGCTGTTGTAATCCCTGTTGTCAGTATGCGGTTTGTAGATATTGTTCAGCATTATGGAACCTTCACAGACGTGTAAGATACCCATGACATGGACTCTGATGATACCGAAACTAGGGCCCGACCGATTTATCGGCGAACCGATTAAATCGCACAGTTTTAGCCTGTTTGAGACTAATCGATAATCAGCCAAAACTTGCAGATATTTTCAGAAATAAAATGCGGAGAATAAGATTTAGTTTCACTCTGAAAATGTTCCACCATTTGAAAAGATCCCCCCGATTTATCCTGTAGCTGGCGCAGCGACCTCATGACAATCTTCATCCACTAACTACCTCATAGCACAGCAGAGTGACGGATCTGAAGCAGGCAGCTCAGGGACGCACGGAGGAGAGTGGTCCGCCTCAACGGTAAATAAACCAGTTTGTGAAATACACAATAAGTCAACAAGTTTCAGTTCTACCCACTTCACGATGTTCCCCGCTGTGCTGGTCTCGGTCACGCCGAGTTAATGGTGAAGCACCATGTAATATGCAAGCTAAAGTTAGAGTGAGCCACCTGCTATTAGCCTTGCTACATTGTTAGCCGTGCCAGTAACAGTAGAATGAACAACAGTACACATTACATGATCTAGCTACTTCTCTTACTGAGGCAGCTGCATGTCTCCAGATGAGACTGGAAATGAGTAACGCAAGTTAAAACGCGGAGGCACCGATCTGGTCTGAGTTTAATTTATGATAAATTCATAAAAAATATGTGGAATATTACTGAGATGTGTTTAAAAGGCTCAAACGCAGCCATTTGTTTTAAAAAAAGTAAATACGTAGATATATTACTTAAATAAACTTCATAAAGAATTTAAAAAATCGGCCGATAAATCAGTAATCGGATCCCCTCCCCAGGTCCAGAGAAGTCTATGGTGTTTCTGGATCATGTTTATATCTAGTTTCCTCTTTCATGGTTTAGTTTTACCCTCATTTGTGGATGCAGTGATGAACTGTGTTTGACACTCAGGAACATTATTCTGAAACTCTTCAACTATTAGCTCACTCAGTTTCACACAAAGTGGTGAAACTCTTCCCATCATTGTTTCTGAGAGACTCAGCCTCTCTCAAAGTCCTTTTTTATACCCAGTCATGTCAATAACCTGTTGGAAATGAACCTTATTGGTTGGAGATGTTTCTCCAGCTGTTATAGAGTTACAAAACTTTTTACCTCTTTGGTTGTTTCTCAAACAATTATTTTCAAACATGTTGTCAGAATCAAATTTAAATGAGCAAGAGATTTTTCATAAACCAATCACATTTTTACTATATTATTTGATGTTGCCTTCTGAGTTTTTTAGATTATATAAAGGCTTTCAAGGATATAAATCATCAACATTTTATGGCATATAATACAAATAATGTGTAAAAAAAAAAAAAAAAACTTCTGCTTTTACCAGATCACTAAAGGTCCTTTCACACCAGGACTGTTTTTGTCATGCAATTATTTTGGACGTCAATATATTTTTTAAAACCCGTATCCTGTCAATACAAGCGTTCACATCAGTGACGTTTTCTCATCCTGCGATATTGCAGCATTTATTTTTTCAGATCATAGTCAATTTTTCTAAAGTTTCGCAACAACATTGCGACGTCTGATCCACCGGTATATCCAACATGGCCGACCGACTGATTGTTTACATGTCGGAGAACAGAGTGCTTTTTGATAAAAACACAAATATTACAAAGATAACAACTTGTGAAGGACAACTTGTGGGGAGTCATAGCGTCGGATTTCTCATATGCCGATAGTTTGTGTGCTTTAACAGTTTGCTAAACGTCTTTGTTTTAACTTTCATCTGTGCTAGCGTATGCTAACGGTTGTTACCATAGTTTCATGTGCTTATCTTATCGCCTCTGATTGGCTATAAGTTCTGACCGTTTGGCTTGAGCGTGTGACGTGTCCACAGGCGGGACTTTCCCCAGGAAGAGTCCTTCCTTCCCTGCCCCCCCCCCAAGAATCGCATCGGGCTTCATGTGTATAGTCAGGCCCGTCAAAATTCACCTCAGAATATTTTGTAATTTCGCGTGCTATATTTACATCGGCCCCGTGTGTGTGAGGACCTTAACACAAATATCTACACTTCTACTATACTAAACCATTAAGTGTTTTTGTTTATCTTAGAATTCATTTGAAATTAAAGGTGGAATTGTGAAAAAAAATGCATATGAAAATGAAACATGATGACAGAAAACATGAGTGGGTTCCATTGTATGTTTATGTGAAGTTACAACATGAAAGCAATTTTATAGGGAAGCATGAAATCAAAGGAGACAAGAGGAGATACAAATAAACATGTTCATGAAGGGAAGTCATAAAATAGAAGCAGATTTCTTTATCCAGCTGAGTTTAATTTAAATATATATATATATATATATATATATATATATAAATAAAAACACTTGATGAAAATAATTGACTTTATTTAAGGAGTTGTCAGAAATGTAATGCTGAGGTTATTTATTGGATAATAATCTGATATCAGACAGTAAGGAGTCTCAGAGTGAATACCTGTTGATAGTGAGTATATTTAGAGGTGACGTTTGTTGTTTCTGTGTAGACATCAGCATTGAGTGTAGGCTTTGTGTCGTAAAGTTTGTCATATTTATGTACAGTCATACCTGAGTCTGTGTCCCTTCACAGTGAAGGTGATATCTGAGGAACACCTGTCAGCAACAGCTGTAAATCTGACACTAACGTCCACTCAAACTACGACATGACTGATAATACTCCAGAGGTCAGAGGTCAAAGGTCACTGCGGCCCCACAGAGCAGAAACTCAAAGCTAAAATGGATCCTAAGCTTGGACCTACTGTGAGGAAAATTAGATAAGATGCGATGGAAGAATCAGAGTCTGGCTGCAGAAATTTGGCCCAGGACCGTCACCTTCTATCAAAAAAAAAAAATCACTACCAAATTAACAGGAAGAAAGATGCAAAAACAACATCCAAGTAAAAAAAAAAACAAACATTAGAAAAAAGTTCCTGCTGTCTGTGAAAACTCAGAAATATAGCATGTTTGCTTTCTCTCTGTAATTACTGAGTATTGTTAATTCTGTTGGATGATGATAACAAAACCACAGCCGTCAATGTCCTTGGCGGTTTTTATTTTGTGGCTGGATATTCATCTTTTTTTTTTTAAATGAAAAATCATTAAAAAATAATGTCATGATGTATATTTAGTGATGTTGAAACTTGTCGGAGTGTTTTTGTCCCTCAGCTCTGTCTGTTAGTTTGTTGTCTCAGTGCTCAGAATGGGTCCTGTTTAATCTTAGTCTGAGGAACAAATTGTAACTTGAAGAAGGATTCAGTCCCCCCCAGGCAGTCCCATATTTGTCCCCCTAAGCCCCCTGCAGCTCTGCAGTGCTCAAAGATGTGTGTATGTGTGTGTGTGTGTGTGTGTGTGTGTGTGTGTGTGGGTGGGTGGGTAGGTGGGTGTGTGTGTGCGTGTGCGTGTGTGTTTGGGACACTTATTGGTTAGACAGAGGCTGTAGAGGTTGATCATGACTGCTGATACACGAATCATTCATTGTGAAATTGCTCCCTAAAAGATTAATCTGGAAATAAAATTGTACGTAAAAGTTCGGCAGAATGTTGTTGTGCAGCAGGGAAGGGTTGTAGATCTACTTTTACTCTGCTGGTTACATGAAACCAGTCCTCCCTCCAGTCTCAGGCCTCTCTCTATATTTAGCCTTGCTCTGCACCTTAATGTGGCTGGAATTAATCCATCTCAGCACGTCAGTCCTAACCAGAGACCAGGCCAGAGAGATTCTGTCAGAGTGGACTACAGTTGGGACTTGTTCCTGTCTGAGCTGAAGATCTACACCTGTTGTTATCACACCTTTTTAGAGCTGAGTTTCAACAAGTTTTCTTTTTTCTTTTTTAGCTACTGTGCCCCAGAGAATCAACTGCTCGAATCTTTCATGACGCAAAAAAAGTTTAATTGAACTCAAAACACCAAATGTCACCAGATGCAAAAATGTATCAAAAATCCTCAAACCATTTCAGAGAATCCCAAACCAAAAAGGTTCTTACACACCAGGGCCGACGCATATATAGAACGTGAAACTACGAAATAATCAGAGGTGAATTTTGACACGCCTAACTATGCACATCAAGCCTGATGCGATTTTGCGACTTTCGGGGGGGAAGACACGTCAGCAGACTGAGTGTTTTTCAGTTCTGATTAGACACTAGTGTTGAGATGGCTGTCTGTCATGATAGCATGTACTGAGTCGGGGCCAGTACCAGATAAGCACATGAAACTATAATCCATAAACGTAAACCAAGACCTAATGGTGCTGTGACAGCAAACTGATAAACCTGATGAAACAAAATATTACAAAATTTACAAAACCACCAAAATATTGCTCACCTGTCCCCAAAGGGTTACCTCCCTATTCCCTCTGTTTCTCCTTCTTTGTCCAGCCTGCAGTCCATCAGTCAGAGTTCAGGGCAACATGTAAGAAGTCAGACAGGCTTTGTGTTTCTGCAGCTCATATTTGAAGTATATTTTCGAAAGGTTCTCAGGACTTCCGGTGTTGACGCTGAAGCGAATGGTAGCCTAAACACCCAGCTCCCAGCCGGTTGAATATTTATCCCCTTTGAAGAACAATAGATTTAACAACTGCCCTGAAACCGATAATGAAAGAGGATAGGCAAAAAAAAGACTAAATGTAGACAGGGCTGAAGAAGTGATAGAGGAGAGGCAGTCGAAGAAAAACACGACAGCGATGAGGAAAGCTATGAGACAAATGGCGGCGCTGATGAGGAAGAAGCTGAACCCGTCATGCGGGCCATCTACAACGAGATCCGCACCCTCAGGTCGGATGTTAAAAGTGAAATGAGTGAATTTCGACTTGCCTTTCGTAACGACATGAAGAAAAGGTTGAATGAGTTTAGAGGAGAAATCAACCGGAAACTCCAGGAAGCTACAGGTGAGCTACAAGCCACCATTACAAGAGTGTGTGAGGCCGAACAGGGCATATCTGACATTGAAGACTGGGACATAGCAGCGAAGGAGCTTAATTTGAGGAGAGGTTTATAATTTGTTTGATATATTTTTAGATGTTTTGAAGTAAATCTGTGTTTAGTGAACGTGCACATGCTTCCACATAAGAAGTGCTGATGGTTTCCCTCCTGTAAAGGTCATCAATGTCATCTGTTTTCTACCTGGCTCAACAGGAGGTTACACTGAAAGGCCACTGACCAAAGGCTCAAACCAGCACCCTGTTGTGGTGTGAGGTAACACTGATAACCATGAGATGCCCTCTGACATTGATGGACACAAGAATAGAGGGACTGATGAAGGGCTGATGGGGTTTTCCATTGTTCCCCATCTTTGGCTGACTGTAAAGACCTGCTTGGAAGTATTATTATTATTATTATTATTATTATTTACCTGAGGGAACTTTCCCAAAATGATCATTAAAGTTCTATCTTATCTGATCTAATTTTTCCAGAGCAGAGCTTCTCAGAGTGTCAGTTTGGTCTCAGTTTTTTTTCCTTTGTCACTTTGTTCATGATCAGTCCAACTGGAGAAACACGTGAACATGAAGCAGTGGACTTCAGGAAGCTTGGGGTTTTTTTTGGATCATTTTTTCAACATGATGTAGACACAAACACTTCAGGATTTTCTATAATGATCGACAGTGAGGTGTACTCTCTCTGACTGCTGTCAGGTTTTCTGTCTGCAGGTTTTGAAACTCTCTGGTTGAGTTTGGTGTTTCCAGAGAGGAGACGGCTCTCCGCGCATAGCAAGATCTCTGCTGCAGTTATGTTTGGACATCCAGCAGACTTCCCAGTATCTCAAGTTACCTCCATCTTTTAAAATAGCGCATCCTCACATTCTCCAGCTGAAGGCACCGGGGCTCCTAAGCAGGCCACAAAGCTAACTGTTTTATCACCGCGGCTGCTCCTATATCCACTAATGAGTCCAAATATGTCTGGGCTGTCATGATACCTGCAGACTGCAGCTCACAGGTGTCAGGCTGAGGCTGGTTGAACTGCTGCAAGCTGCTACACTTCTCCAGCATGCTCCGAGGATGTTTGATTTCAGCAAATAAAACTATCGTCCAGGTTATTTCTGCTGCATAATCTCAAAGAATGAGCTAAACAAAGCTGTGCGGGAAAAGGACCTTGGTGCAGGATTTGAAGAAGATATGAACAGGTCTTACAGGGTATCCTAGATCATCTTCATTAAACTACATACAGACACAACAGGGCTGATGTGGACATATCACCTTTGGACAGCTAAAACAACTTGATTTAGGTGTACCAGTGTCTGAGCTGGGTGAAACTAAACAAAAATGTTTTCATATCAGGCAATATTAATAATGATCACAACTCATGTCTTATCAATATTTCAGTCAATACTGATAACTTTGTATGCAGTTATGAATGTTTGTTAATGCTCAGATAATCACGAGTTCATGTGTGACTCATTAAAGCATGAATGATTAACATGTCATCTTTCAATTATGATGATGAATTTTATGCTGTTAATTCCTGTGTTCTTTTTCATGGTGCTAGATAGTGTTGAGATAGTGAGAGAGAGCAGATGTCTGCTGCATCTCTCTGAATCAGTGTGTACTTGTCTGCGCTAGCTAAGAGGAAAGTCAGAGCACATCCGTTTGGGTGCATTTCCATGTATTCACCAGTGTGTCGTGCAGAGTTTGTTTGCGGAGTTTGGTGTCCAAAAGACTGCTTGGCATAGTTTTGACGAAAAAGAAACAGCTTCACTGGTGGTGGTCATGGCGGATGCTAAGATTAGTGGCAGTACCGAGCAAACGGAGGCAGTCCGACCCACCCAACATGAGGAAGAGGAGGAGGAACTCATTCCAAAAAAGGGCCAAAAGATCAGTGGCGCACCTGCTGCACCAAAAACTAAAGCTGCAACAGCTCATCTTATACAGAAGAGCTTGGCAGAGTCTTTCACCAAAGGTACACCATATGATAAAAAAATGATCTGGCATTTTGTTTGCATTTGTTTACAAATCAGAGTTTAAAAATAAAAGGAAAATGAACAAATGCGACAGTATGGTTATTTTTCAAGCGATTCGTTGAATTTACAGGGGGGAAAAACATACCATGATATGAAATCACTCATACCGTAAGATTTTGTTCATACCGCCCAACACTTGAACTCGGGCTGAAACCATTCCTCGAGTACCTTGATTACACAAGATGATTGAGGAATTTACTTTGCCTTGAGTATTTATTTATAAGTTCAAATCGTCACTGTTTCGCACAAATTATTTTCAAGGTGATGCAGCGAGCTAACATCACTACGTTAGAGGGAGGAGTAAACGTGGTTTTGGTTTTGCAGAGTGGAAAAAAATAAATAATGAGAGGAGCTTTTATTCTGCAGAACTCCAGTAGCTCATTAGCAATTCGCCTTTGAAGGGCCTTCCACACTGGGCACAAGGCAAATATATGACGAGAAATTACAAAATATTCTGAGGTGAATTTTGAAGCACCTGACTACACATCAAGCCCGATGCAATTTTTCGACTTTCTGGGGGAAAAAAAGACGCATCCCAGGTGGAAGCGAGAAGACTGACACAACAGCAGACTGACTGTTTTCAGTTCTGATTAGACACTAGTGTTGAGATGTCTGTCTGTCATGATAGCATGTACTGAGTCGGGGCCAGTACCAGATAAGCACATTAAACTATAACCCATAAACATAGGGTAACAACCGAGACCTAATGGTGCTGTGACAGCAACGCGATTGAGTTTGAGACAGTGAAAATACATATGGTATGTTGTATCTGAACAGGTTAGCTTACGAGCTAAAGTTACTTAGCACAGATGAAAGTTAAAACAAAGACATTTAGCAAACTGTTAAAGCACACAAACTATCCTTCAGGTCGTTATCTTTGTAATGTTTGTGTTTTTTATTAAAAAGCACTCTGTTCTACGACAAGTAAACAATCAGCCGGTTGGCCATGTTGGAAAAACTAGTGAATCAGATGTTGCAACAACACGCAATCTGATTGGTCAGAAGTGGACACACAGTATGTGAAACTTAAGAAAAATCGACCATGATCAGAAAAAATAAATGCCGCAATATCGCAGGACGGGAAAACGTCGCTGATGTGAACGCTTGAATTGACAGGATACGGGTTTGAAAAAAAATATTGATGTCCCTAATAATCGCACGATAAAAACAGTCCCGGTCTGAAAGGACCTTGAGTCAGCACTGCTCTGCACATTCCTCTTCACGCTAGCTTGTGTAATAGCAAAAGGAGCTATTTATCTCTTGGACACTAATGTCTTTAGGGGCATGATCAAAGCTAATATCATAATTAGCTTTCTTCCGATCATCGCAATCCGGTACTACACACGCTTGTTCTGTGATTGTTGCGCGCTAATTGCACTTTAAAATAAATTATGTTTTACCTGATTACTTGATTAATCGATATAATATTCTGTTGAATACTCGATTACTAAAATATTTGATAGCTGCAGCCGTAAATGATGCTCCGCTGAGTAAAGTGACATGATTATATCTCAGTTCATTATTACACTTCAAGACAATAGTCTATCCGTAGCTTTAACTGGTCCAGAACGCTGCCGCCTGTATTATCACCATCTATCAGTCACATCACACCTGTTCTCCGCCAACTTCACTGGCTTCCCATCAAATACCGCTTGGACTACAAAATTCTGCTCCACACTATTAAGGCCATCCACAACCTCGCTCCTCCATACCTCTTTGAACTCCTCAACATCAACACTCCCACCCGGACTCTCAGGTCTGCCTCCTCCGGCCCGTCTGTCCACCATGAGATCCAGAGCCTTCAGCCGCGCTGCCCCCCGCCTTTGGAACTCCCTCCCCCTGACATTAGGAACATTGAGTCACTCTCCATCTTTGAATCCCATCTCAACACTCATTATTTCACTCAGGCCTACTCAGACTAGCATTTGATGTTCTCCTGCAGATTCCAGACTTACAACTTTTTTATTTAATACATGGTTGTGTTGATGTGTTTTTTATTGATTTTCCTATTCTACTGATGTGTCTTTTAATTACTTTATAAGGTGTCCTTGAGTACCCTGAAAGGCGCCCACTAATAAAATGTTTTATTGTTATTATTTTTATTGTCATTAATTAGTTAGCAACAACATTAATGCAGAAACAATCAGCATTTCACTATGACAACAAGTAAGATAACTGATTATTTGAAAGGATTCAATAACAATGTATGATCTCAACAAAGTAACAGATCTTGGTTCAGAACCTGGTTCAGGGTTCACACCATAAAGCCATGAAACATAAATGACTCACATCTAAAGAGTGACATTTTTTGTCCTCCCAGAAGTTTGACAGAAGGTTATCGATAAATAGTTATGAGAGACTGTGTCCTCCAGGTTCATGCTATGTGTTGCCTCTGAAATTAGACAGAACTACAGAAAAAACACACTATTTTTTACCTTGTCAGAGTATAAAAGGTGAATTCACTTAATGTTCCACACTGCTAAAAAGTCTACAGCCAGTATGGTTGTTGCGTTGATGTTGACTCCATGTTCAGTTTGTGAACTTAACGCAAACATACAATGTAAATCCCCATTTACAGTCTAATAGAAAGAGTGTTGTGATTGCAGTCATGTTGAGTTAAAAATTATCTAATTTTCTCTGAGAAGTTTCCCGATAGAAAATTTATATCGGGAAACATGAGCTCTATTGTTTCTATCGCAGTGTCGCAAAAACACACTTTACGGCAGTGTTTTACATCGTCGTGACGCTCCATATATGGCATGCCCACATGCGCTACTGCCACTGTGAAAAACACAAACAAGCATGGAGGAGCCGGGTGATTGTGGCAAAAGAGATGACAATTCTCGTGCATCAAACGCAGACGAGCCAACGCAGACGGAGGAGCTGCTGCCGAAATGGGGGGCAACGTCGGTTGTGTGGTCGTGGTTTGGTTTCAAAAGGAGCGACACAGAGCAGACCGCTGTAGTTTGTAAAGTATGTCACCGCCATGTCGCTACAACTGACTCAAACACAACGAACCTCTTTTATCATTTGCGGAAAAACCATGAAAAAGAATATGATGAAAGGCAGCCTTTGAAGGCTGCTGCAGAGCTGCAGAAGCTAGCAGCCGAACAACAAGCAGCCCTCCCTCCATCAGCTGCGCCTGCCGCTGCCAGAGATCAGGATGAGCCTGAGGTCAGTGAGGTGGTTCCTGCTAAGAAGCAAAAGAGAAGTTTGAGCAGTTACTTTAAAAAAGCAGAGAAGCCAACAGAAGTGCCCACCCCTCAGTCAAGCAGAGAATACGCTGAAAATGAGCTCAACTGCTATCTCCATAGCTATGTGGAACATGGTAAAGAAACAGATCCACTTGCATGGTGGAAGCAGCATGAGAAGTGTTTTCCCCTAATGGCCAAGCTAGCAAGGAAATATCTTTGCATCCCTGCCACAAGTTGCACGTCAGACCGGGCTTTCAGTACAGCTGGGAACATAGTGACATGCCATAGGGCATCACTCAAACCATCAAGAGTCAACCAGCTTGTATTCCTAGCACTTAACCTGTAGAACAGTGATTCTCAGAGTGGATTCCAGGGATTGTGGTTTCCTTTAGGGAGGTCTAAACTTTTTTGTTTTTGTTTTATTTTCTTTGTTGACCCATACAAGTCTGTAACCCTGACAGTTATTAAATGAATGGGTCCATTTGTACTGTCAGAGACTGAGTTGAGGGGAGACCTTGAAATATAAATGTTTGAGAACCTGTAGAAGTCTGAGATTCAGAAACACAATGTAAACACTTTATAAAATTTGACATTGTCAGATATTTTGTTCGGATGTTTTCATATCCATGCTACTTGAAGTAGTTTTGTATTTTTTTTTGTATACCTTGTATAATATATTGTGAACTTTTTGTACTTTAAACACTTTAAAGGGTTCCATGTTTACATTTGGTGTTTTGGAACCAATATTTATTTTAAGAGCTGTTTGCTGCTAACATTAATGGCAATGTTAATCAATACTGGAATAAAACATGACCTTGTCATTTCCACTCAAAATCCTTTCTACATTACATGCTGATGTCATGTGAATGAGCTAGCCTATGGAATGTATGGATGTTCATTTCATTATTAAACCTTGTGTAACTAATTGTTGTTTACAAAAATGTTGAATTATTGAAAGTGTTTTCAATATTTTTCAGAGGGTTCTAATTAAAAGAAGTCTCGTTTAGTAACGTAACTTGTTGAATATATAATTTAAACTACATTTCCACGTGGCAATTTTATATAAACTATGCATCAGTTGAATTAACAAAAAATGTACTATATCGTGATGTATATCGTATCGGGATATAACATGAGCTATATTGGGATATGACCAAAATCTCATATCGTGCAGCCCTACTCTGGGCTCTATTTTTGTTCCTCGCCGGCGGCATGGCGTAGGCGCGGTGTATGTCAGGTTCCCCGCGCCGACAAGGCATGCCCAAGCACATTTTGGTATTTTGGTGAGCGGCGCAGCCCGATGTAAGTATCCCCCTCCCTAACACAGCTCCTCTCAGCGGCATAAGTCGTAGAGAGGGAGGAAAGAAGACGTGGAGTGGGTTTAACACAGCCGAGACCTGTTTTCACCAATCAGATCAGCTCCTCTCCTCACCTTTAAATCCGCCACCGGTGTGGCGTTTTACAATTTCCGTGAAGGAGTCAAAGACATCAAGAGATGGCTGAAGACAGCAATGCCACACGGTGGTGACAGAAGGCATTCCCTCAACAAGTGTCGCTGTAAGCGCTGCAGAGGGTGTCCTGCACACTGTCTCAAATAAGCACAGATGGATTTGGTGTGGTTAATGTTGGACCCCCTGGTAAGACATCTTATGGCCCTGGGGGTCTAGTTTGACCTCAGCAAATTTGGTGCCAATCAAACCAAACAAGATACATTTGGCGTGACATATGCAAATGGCCAAAAGGGGGTGAAAACAGCGGAATAAATCTTTAACCGCATGTCTGAAGAAAAAATTCAAGTGCCCAAAATCAAAGATCTCATTAAGATACACATGCCTGTTAAATTTTGGGCAGATCTGACAAAGTCGACGTTCGTGGCACCCTTTAGGGGGCGCTAGTGAGCCATTTTTTAATCACTTTTTTTGGGGCTACTTTAAAACATTGCGATTTTCGCCGGCCTGACCCACCTGCAAATTTTTGTGAGTTTTCGAGCCGTTCACGGTGTCAAATTTGCATTTTAAGACACGAAAAAAAAATCATAGATATAATCGAGAACCCCTTGAATTACAATAGGGCTTCGCCGCAGAGCAGCGCTCTCAACTCAGGCCCTAAATACATGAAATTTTTTTCAAAACGTGTTCTATCAAGAAAATTATATCACTACCGTAATTATTATAATATCATCCGCCTGCACTGCCCACAGTGCATGATTGACATTGACTTAGTTTCAGAGACATCATTCTAAAACCTATCGGACACTTAACAGACTCATGCTGAGCCAAGCCTGTTTAACTAGTCCGTGTTTCTATCTTGCTCTGGTCCTCTGTCTTCTCAAAGCACTTTAATATCACATGTCACATTCACCCATTCACACCACATTCACGCACTGACTGCAAAGGTTGCTATGTAGAGTCCATCAGTTTTTTTGACTTCTTACATTCCCACACAGCCGCAGTGTCTTGCCCAAGGACACTTTGGCATTTAGACGGGCCTGGGATCAAACCCTCAACCTTATGATTAGGAGACAAACAACTCTACCACTGAGCTGCAGCTGCCCCTAAGCCCCTTTATACAAATCAGATCAACTGTGCCTTTAATAATGCCAAACCCTCAACCTTAATATCTACAAAACTAATCAGTTAAAAATAAATGCACCCTTTGTACAGAGTGTCCTGTGAGAGCCATGAGGGATAGAAGCCAAAAGCCTTTTTGAACAAGGCTGTAAACATGTTTATTTCTGCTCGAAAGTTGGGCTGTTTGAATGAGTATGCAATTGGTGCAGATTGCTTCTGTGGACAGCCTCTAGTGGACACTCCAGGAGCTGCAGTTTTAGCACCTCCACATCAGCTTCACTTCTCATTAGGGCCCGACCGATATGGATTTTTTGGGGCCAATGCCGATACTGATTATTATTATAAAATAAAAATATTTATATACTGTAGATATCTACAGTAAACTATATACCAGAAAAGCATTTTCAACTACCCCTCACCCCCCGCCGATCAGTGCCTCCGCGTCTTAACTCACGTTACCCATTTCCGCTCCGGTCTCATCTGGAGACATGCAGCTGCCTCAGTAAGAGAAGAAGCTCAATCACGTAATGTGTACTGTTGTTTATTCTACCGTTACTGGCACGGCTAACAGTGTAGCAAGAATAATAGCAGATGGCTAACTCTAACTTTAGCTTGCATATTACATCTATCTGATCTACTGGATTATCTACTGGATAAGTCAAGGGATCTTTTCAAATGGCGGAACATTTTCGAAGTGAAACCTAATCTAATTCTCTGCATTTTATTTCTGAAAATATCGGCGAAAATCGGCAAGTTTTGGCCGATTACAGATTAGTCTCAAACAGGCTGAAATTGGCCGATTTAATCGGTCGGGCCTTACTTCTCATGACTTAGTGAGGGAGGTATGGCTTGTTAATACAGCAGCAGGACCCTCCACCCCCACCCCCTCACCCACACACACTGTACTGTTCTGCCCTGCCTACTGTGAAACTACATTACACCACCTTCTTTCCTCCATTCCTCCTCGTAATGAGTCTACCTCACCATTGCATGACACAGCAAAGAAGAGGCAAAACAAGGACAGAAAAATTCCGCCTTGAAATGGCAGCATGTAAGAGCCTATTCAGTGTGCAGTTGGTTATTTGCACATCTCAGCACAATCTAATTGAACACAGCAGGGCTTTGTTAAACCAGTGAGGGAAGTGTTTGTCCTCCGATAGAGATAAAATGAGTTGAACTGAGTGGTAGAAAACAGTAAGAGGAGTTATTTTATCCCCCAAAGCTGAGGACATGGTTTAAAAAAGGCACAACTGCATCACTATATGGAAGTGTTTAAAATATCTCAAACTGGAGGAGGTGTAAATAAAGAGCTTCTGCAATGTGTGTCATATTAGCACCCAGTAATACAGGAAACACACAAACCTTTTCCATCTCCTGAAAAAGTTACATTTACTGGTTTATTCCATGACTTTAAAACACTGTGAGCTGACTACCTCCTGTTTGTTCTTAATAGGGATGAAACGTCTGCTGATAGTTTGATTTGTTTGTTTTTTTGTTGCAGTAACCCTCCATATGTTTTACATGATGTCAGGGACTCATCACTGTTGGTGATGGGTCACCCATCACTGCTGTGTTGTCTGCAAACATCACAGTTAAGGTCCTTACCAACCGGGACCGACGCAAATATCCAATGCGAAATTATGAAATATTCGAAGGCGAATTTTGACGCGCCTGACTATACGCATCAAGCCCGATGCGATTTTGCTACTTTCCGGGGTAAAAAAGACGTGTCCTGGGTGGAAGCGAGAAGACTGACACAACAGCAGACTGACTGTTTTTCAGTTCTGATTAGACACTAGTGTTGAGATGGCTGTCTGTCATGATAGCATGTACTGAGTCGGGGCCAGTACCAGATAAGCACATTAAACTATAATCCATAAACTTAAGGTATCAACCGAGACCTAATGGTGCTGTGACAGCAACGCCATTGAGTTTGAGACAGTGAAAATACATATGGTATGTTGTATCTGAACAGGTTAGCTTACGAGCTACAGTTACTTAGCACAGATGAAAGTTAAATCAAAGACGTTTAGCAAACTGTTAAAGCACACAAACTATCCTTCAGGATGTTATCTTTGTAATACTTGTGTCTTTTATCAAAAAGCACTCTGTTCTCCGATCAGCCAGTCGACCATGTTGGATATACCGGTGAATTAGACGTTGCAACAACACGCAATCTGATTGGTCAGAAGTGGACACACAGTATGTGAAACTTTAGAAAAATCGACCGTGATCCGAGAAAATAAATGCCGCAATATCGCAGGACGGGAAAACGTCACTGATGTGAATGCTTGTATTGACAGGATACGGGTTCGAAAAAAAATCTTGACGTCCGAAATAATTGCACAATAAAAACGGTCCTGGTGTGAAAGGACCTTAAGACCGCTCTGGTGGTTTTAAGAGTAGTTATACATCAGCAGGATGAAAAACGGTCAAGAGTGCATGGATTGGCCAGGCTAGGATGAGAGCACCTTCCACTTGATCATACGATCATAAATTACTAAAACTGGCCAAATCCGCTGCTTTACTGTAGTTTTGTGAGTTTGAATGACTGCTTACAGTTTTAACATGAGCTTTTTCCCCAGAGTTCAAATCAAGGTTTGAATTCTTTGATAAAAATTGACAGCCATTGTGTAAATACGTTTTTCTTTTATTAATCCAGTTTGGAGTCAAGCTATTCAGTCATAATTCAGTCATAATTTCACAGTTTAATATAATATAATCTGCAGTGTAAACGAGTAAAAATGAACATGTTCATTGAATGGGCTCATATTTTCATGAATGGTGAACTGAACTGTTCAGTTTATAACTGGTAAAAGGGAACATGAGCGTTAGTTCACTCCTGGGGCTGTGAACTAACGCTACCATTCAGAGGAGTGACTGCAGGTGCTGAGAGATGCCGACAATAGGACTATCAAAATCTTGTTTTTCCCTTTTAGATTGGAGGTTGTTTTTTATTTAGAAGTTCATTTATGGTGACTTTATGCCTTGTTGCTTGTCATTCATCAGTCCAGTCCAGGAAACAGAAATCCGGCCTCCAGTCTTCCAGGCCTCTGTGTGACCGTGGGTTCAAGTTTAGTGTCATTTCTGTCTGTCTCTGATATCTTAACACTTTTCTCTCTGTCCCCCCACCTGTGATTTCTTGTAGGCACATACCAGGGTCAGTGGACTGGTGGGATGCGTCATGGTTATGGTGTTCGTCAGAGTGTGCCTTATGGTATGGCCTCAGTCGTGCGCTCTCCTCTGCGGACCTCTCTGTCTTCTCTTCGCAGTGAGCAGAGTAACGGCACAGTGCTGCGTGACAGCCTGTCCGACAGCCCTGCTGGAACACGTGGAGGCTTCGTACTCAACTTCCACTCAGAAAGCGAAGGTTCGGAAAAGAAAAAGGGTCTCTTTCGCCGTGGCTCCCTCTTTGGGAGCCTTCAGCGACTGCGCAAATCAGACTCCCGTTCTTCCATTTCCAGTAAACGCAGCTCAGCGCACAGCGACACCACCATGAGCCGCATCAGCTCCAGCGACGCCAACTCCACCATCAGCTTCGGAGATGGTGACACAGGAGATGACTTCTTGCCTTTGGAGGACAACGTGGATGCCACCACTACTGAGTCCTACATGGGCGAGTGGAAGAATGACAAGCGCTGCGGCTTTGGTGTGTCTGAGAGATCCAACGGCATGAAGTACGAAGGCGAGTGGCTGAACAATAAGCGCCATGGCTACGGGTGCACCATCTTCCCTGATGGTACCAAGGAAGAGGGGAAGTACAAGAACAACGTGCTGGCCCGCGGCATTAGGAAGCAACTGATCCCGCTGAAAAACACCAAGACCAAACAGAAGGTGGACCGAGCCATCGAGGGGGCTGTAAGAGCCGCAGCCATTGCCAGAACCAAAGTGGAGATTGCCATCTCCAGGTAAGACATCCTATATGAAGTCATGATGGACAGTCCATGGGTCATGCGTGTGTTTGTCTGCAACCATTTTACCAGAAAGGTTCTGCCTTAATATTAGAGACAGGGATGTAGAGGGGAAAGGTGGTTAAAAGAGCTGGTTGATTCATAGATTTTAATTTAGATTATGATCCAGGGCCCTAATTATCAAAACATGATAATTGAGACTGAATGATGATTGTGCCCCCTGCTGTGTTGTTCCCTTAAAAGACGCATTCATACCAAGACTGTTTGGTTCGTTTTAAAAGGACCGTGGTCCCCTTACTCATTTGCTCCAAGTGGTATGAACACGCAAGCGAACCGTGGTCTGGATCAAACAAACAGACCATGGTCCTTTTCCAAAATGCTGGACTCGGTCCCCTTCCAAATGAACCATGGTCCGGTCCATGGCAGGTGTAAACATAGTGCTAATGCAGTCTGACTTTTTGTATGTCAATTTAAACCAATAACACATTTACACTGTAATAAAAACCGGGAAATTATGCCCAGCTGGAGCCTGCAGCTGCCGGAGAACAACCGGTCAAAACACCGGACTGTCCGTAAAACTGGACGAATGGCAGAGGGTTTGTGATATTATAGTCAGGTGATATTAAATATCTGGGTGTTCTTCTGTTCAACAGACACACTGACAATGTGTTATCTAGGCATTCCTTTGCATTGATGCCCATCGTCTCCTCGCACAACATCTCCGCCACCTCTGGTGATTTGCATGAAGCAAGATGCCTATTGTTCTTTCTGGTCGGCTACTTTCTATGCGTTGTGAGACAATGAAGATTGTGCCCCAAATGAGCAGTGACAGTGGTTTGCTTAGGAAAAGTCTGATGTGACCAAATGCAAAATGCAACTATGTAAACATTTGGTCCCTGATCCAGACCTTTTAAGCGGACTTTGGGTGAGAAAGGTCCCTAAGTCCTTCATAGTCTTAATTAGCACAACCTCCCTCTTCTACCTTAGGAACAAAGTGTGACCCTCCCCTCCCCTTAAACAGCGTTAACTTGTTTAGGCGCAACCAAACCTCACACATACAGAAGCATGGCGCGTCTTCTTATTTAGTTCTATTGGCAGGGTCAGGATGCATACTGCCCCCTAGTGTACCAGAGTTAAGGTCTTTTTTAAGGTCGTTTTTTTCGTGCGACTATTTTGGACGTCAATATTCTTTTTCGAACCCATAACCTGTCAATACAAGCCTTCACATCAGCGGCATTTATTTTCTCGGATCACGGTCGATTTTTCTACAGTTTCGCATACTGTGTGTCCACTTCTGACCAATCAGATTTCGTGTTGTTGCGACGTCTGATTCACCGGTATATCCGACATGGCCGACCGGCTGATTGTTTACATGTTGAAGAACAGAATGCTTTTTGATAAAAAAAAACACAAACATTACAAAGATAACGACCTGAAGAACAACTTGTAGAGAGTCATAGCGTCGGATTTCTCATATGACGATGGTTTGTGTGCTTTAACAGTTTGCTAAATGTCTTTGTTTTAACTTTCATCTGTACTAAGTAACTTTAGCTCGTAAGCTAACCTGTTCAGATACAACATACCATTAGGTCGCGGTTGTTACCTTACGTTTATGGATTATAGTTTAATGTTCTTATCTGGTACTGGCCCCGACTCAGTACATGCTATCATGACAGACAGACATCTCAACACTAGTGTCTAATCAGAACTGAAAAACAGTCAGTCTGCTGTTGTGTCAGTCTTCTCACTTCCACCAGGGACGCATCTTTTTCCCCCGGAAAGTTGAGAAATCGCATCGGGCTTGATGTGTATAGTCAGGCGCATCAAAATTCACCTCCGAATATTTTGTAATTTCTTGTCATATATTTGTGTTGGCCCTGGTGTGTAAGGACCGTTAGTTATATTCACAGACAGTTGAAGGTAGGATCAAAGCAGAAAAATCTATTTGCGGCGGGCCACTTTAAATGAATGAATGTGTGAGAAACACTGTGTTTTAAAAAGGGTTAAGAGTTTGATGTATTTAAGGGGTTTTCAGTTCCTTAGATCTGTGTAATACAGCAATGTCTCCTGGTTTGGCTCAGAGTTGGTCTCTGTGGAGCAGTTCTTACCTCATGAGCAGCAGCTGATCTCTGAAGCCTGTCTGTATATGTTATTGCCAGAGTGGCCGAGTACAGCATAGAAGTGTTTCTGTGGTTTCACAGTAAATATGAAAAACTGTCAGGGGGTTTCTGCCTGTTCTAAACCAAGGATAAAGTGTTTTTAAGCCAAAGACTGCACGATATAGTAAACGTGAACAAAACCACCAAGCCTGGTTTAAAGCCACAGTAGGGAAGCCTTCACTGCAGGAGCTTGGCCTTTACAGTCTGGGGTTTTGGAGCCAAGAGAGCCATATTTGCTATGGAAAGATAAGAATCCCAGATTTTATTATTTTATTTATTTTAGAGAGGCACATATTAGATTTATGCTCATATAAAAAAATTTCAAACTCACTTTAGCTGATACAAATATAGATTTCATTAATTTGTATTTTTGAGGTCTAACCCTTTTTCTCACATTTTTGAGGAAAGTTCTGTGCTCTGCTCTGCACTCTCTATATTTACTGTTTTTTTTTTGTTATTTACCAACCACTTCCCTGAATGAGGGAGACTGTAAGCTACAGCCTCAGACGATCAAATCATTAAAAAAATATATTTTTGTTGCTTTAAGTTGTACCTTTCAGGCTTATTGTGAAAGGACAAGACAGTAGGAAACAGGTCTGGGAAGAGAACAGAAAGTGACAAACAGATACACTTTATACAGTGTGATGGTGTGTGTGACGCTGTGAGCTGCAGCCTGAAAACACCTGCTGAGAAAATGTTAAAGAGGTGGTATTGTGAATTTTTTTCAGCCTCTATACTTCCTTTTTGATTCCACTCCAATAGCTTTACATGATCTTCAGTTTAAAAAAAGCCTCTCTTAGTTTCTCACTCTTGTGTCTTAAAATATTTTAGTCTGTGTATGTAATGCTTTCTTAGCTGCTGTCTCTTTAAACCCAACAAAATTTTGAAGAGGAGTTTACTGCTATTTTGTAGGATTTTAACAACATGACAACATTATCTAAGTCTGGTATATACACCAAACATTGTCACTTGGTGTGTAAGGACCTTTTCTATCAAGTCCACTCGCTTCGTTTGACTGGCATTATTCCTCTGCTGGCTGCTCTGTGAACTGGTCTCTGTGATCCAGCAGCAGTCCAGCTGTGTTAACCAGACAGTGTAAATTGTCCCCTTCTTCTTTCACAGCTGTCATCGCACAATCAGAAACATACGAATAGCTACTTTCAAGCCTAAACTCAAATCTTTTGCTGCGAAATGGTTCAAGTGAGTACTGATAAAAAAAAGTAAATGTGAGACAATAAAGTGTTTTTATATAAGAGTGGGGCTTTAATTTAATTTCACAAGCCTGTAAAATGAATCCTTTAGATGTTATAGCCTCATACCAGGAAGGAAAACTACCACCTCTGGATTACTGAAAGCAGTTACTGTAAGGCTCCCAAACACACCTTGAATGTAATTATCGACTAAAGTGCATGGTCACCTGATGTCAACGCCGATACCGCAGCTATCCATCATGTTGTAGAAATGTGATGAATGAGAGACGGGAAGAGTATTTTTTAATTATTTATTTGTTTATTTATATTTTTTAAGTGACGTATTTGATGGACAGCCTCTGGTGAATGCTTGAAGAACTGCAGTTTTTTTGCACTCCCACATTGGCTTCCCTGCTCGACTTTGACCCAGGGTTTACTGTAGGCTTGTGGAGACCTGATTTCATCATTTTAAACAACTTTCATGCACATATCTGTGTTCGAAAAGCCACCATCAGAGATTTCATTTGGGGTACAACACTTCTCACTGTATTTAATGGCAGAGGTAACCCTGTGAGAGGAGAAAAGTCAGAGATTTCTGTGGACACTTTTCCTCATTCAACGGGGAACTCAACATTTAAACATTTAAAAAGACTCTACATCAAATCAAAGCTGTGAAATCACATGAGATTTTAAAAGAGCAGAAAGCAACAGTACAGTTTACATCCTGTTCGTCTGGGTTACAGTAACACCCAGAGTCACTAAACATCATCAAGTGGTCAAATAAACCGTTCTACCGACCTTCATAGTTTCCCAAAGCATTTCTGTCGGTCTAACTGGATGATCTTAACCTCTAGTCTCCTTCTTTTTTGTTATTTTCTGTCTATTTTTTAAACTAATTTGTTTTCAGTCACGGTGGAGCACTCAGTGTGTTAGATTTGGAAGAAAAGTGCAACATCGAAAAAGCTTGACTGATTTAGTGGAAAAAGTCATATTTACTAATACCTAAAGGGATTATATATCACCTCTTCACTCCCTTTAAGAGCCTTGACTTAATTTTGATGATTATACTCACTACAGTAAGCACCAGATTTAAATATATTTCTACTTTGTTATGAATCTTGAAGGATTTGAACTCTTTTGCCTCTTAAACTTGATCACAGGCTGTAGATCAAACAAATCACTCAGACTCTACAAGCTTTTTGAAAACCTCTTTTATACTGTGGAGACTTTGGCTTTTCTATGATTGTGATTCCTAACCATGTCTGCCACTTTTTAGTCTGCCCAACATTTGTACATTTGTAAACTATCATTTAGGCCTTGTGCACATGTAGCTGGTTATTGTCATAAATATCCAAGCCCCTCTGTTTAACAAAAAATAGTCAAGCACACACATCATCATTTTAAAATAAAATCCCATCCACACAAAACCACATAAATGTGCTATTGACTGCGATTACAAACATGCCAGACCTGGAGTTGGTAGTATTTGCCAAAAAGTTAGACCCATTCTATCCAATCAGAGCAAGCCTCCCTTTCTTGCTCTACTTTCCCAAACATGAAACATGGTGTCATGTTGTTTGTTCGTGTGGACTGACAAAGAGGTGGAATTACTTTTAAGCATCGTATTGTAGACACAAGAAAGGTGGAGGAAGGGTTATTTGGTTTAAGGTCTTTACACACCAGGGACGATGCAAATATACGATGCAAAATTACAAATTATTCAGAAGCGAATTTTGACGCGCCTGACTATACACATTGAGCGCGATGCAATTTTGCAACTTTCTGGGGCGAAAAAAGACGCGTCACGGGTGGAAGCGAGAAGACTGTCACAACAGCAGACTGACTGTTTTTCAGTTCTGATTAGACACTAGTGTTGAGATGTCTGTCTGTCATGATAGCATGAACTGAGTCGGGGCCAGTACCAGACAAGCACATTATACTATAATCCATAAATGTAAGGTAACAACCGAGACCTAATGATGCTGTGACAGCAACGCCATTGAGTATGAGACAGTGAAAATACATATGGTATGTTGTATCTGAACAGGTTAGCTTACGAGCTAAAGTTACTTAGCACAGATGAAAGTTAAAACAAAGACGTTTAGCAAACTGTTAAAGCACACAAACTATCGTCATATGAGAAATCCGACGCTATGACTCTCCACAAGTTGTCCTTCAGGTCGTCATCTTTGTAATGTTTGTGGGGTTTTTTATCAAAAAGCACTCTGTTCTCTGACATGTAAACGATCAGCTGGTCAGCCATGTTGGATATACCGGTGAATCAGACGTCGCAACAACACGAAATCTGATTGGTCAGAAGTGGACACACATTATGCGAAACTTTGGAAAAATAGACTGTGATCTGAGAAAATAAATGCCGCTGATGTGAACGCTTGTATTGACAGGTTATGGGTTCGAAAAAAAATATTGACGTCCCAAATAGTCGCACGAAAAAAATGGTCCTGGTGTGAAAGGACCTGTAGAATAACTGACTACAAAGCACTATTTCTATTTTGCTCCTCACGAATATAAATATTCTGTATATATCTGTGCCGTCCACTGCCTGACATAAACAAGGACGCATAGAACGGTTATCTATTGGTTGTCGCGGACAATGATGTTTGGGAAATGAAACTCTGGTTATCTATGTCCACACGCAAATGCAAAACCAGAGTTTTCCAAAATCTTCACTTTGGCTGGAGTTTTCCAAAAGCACCATTTTAATGGCGCAATCCTGGGCTTTCATGTGGATGATAAATACATTTGTTTTAGCAAATACCTACCTAGCTATGTGTGGACAAGGCCTTAGACACACATGGATACTCACACCTGCCTCCTCTTGCTCCTCTCCCTGCTCTCCTCTCTCCTCCTGTTCCTTCTTCCTCCTCCTGAGGGTCAGACTGGACTGCTCCAGTTTTAATGTTGATGAATTTTCTGGAGAGTGCTTGTGCACAAGTGCTGGCATTTCTTTATTTAGTGTGTGTGTGTGTGTGTGTGTGTGTGTGTGTGTGTGTGTGTGTGTGTGTGTGCGTGTGTGCGTCAGAAGTAGTGCTTGTCTAAATAAGGCTGGGGAGGAGGACGCTTATCAACAGCTGAAAGAAATACAGGCTCACACACTCACTCACACATAAACAGCTGAGTGTGTGCGAGCTCTGCTGACCTTTAAACAGCTTTTTGAATGTTTCTGGTTTGTTGATTGATTGATTGATTTTTTTTATTTTTATAAATACTCTGATTGAGGTGAAGCCATGCTGTCTGTTGCCATGGGAACAGTTGGAATTGTGTGTGTGTGTGTGTGTGTGTGTGTGTGTGTGTGTGTGTGTGTGTGTGTGTGTGTGTGTGTTTTTAAGTATGTCAAGATGAAAAATTGTGAACCTGGTGTGTTAAAACACCCTATGAATAATTTTTGTCCTATTTCAATCCAGTGTGTGTTTGGATGAGTCAGATTCTCACAGTCGGGGCTGAAGTGATGATAGTGATTCAGTTTAAGGTTACAGATAAATCTGATCTCTCTGTTTGTTCCTGTGATGATCAGAATCAGATCTGTCCACAGAGGAGACTCAGGCAGAGTCAGGCCTTTATGCTGTATGATTGTGTATAAAGTCAGTAAGGGTGAACAAGGAGAGAGCTCAGTTTGCTCTCTTTACCCTAGCCCTGTTTCTGTGTGAGCGTGAAAATGCAACAGATGATGACTTAAAGGCATGGTTGACGATCTGAGAAGCAGTTGAAAAAAACTGAGCCGTTGAGGCAGATATGTAAAAAGCGTCAAACTCCCCACACACAAACCTCTCCCCTCTGTGCTCCACGATAACTCCCCCTCAAACCTGTTTCACCCTCTCCTTGACACATCCCCTCTGGCAGAGCAAGCAGCCAGCCGGCAGAAGATCCAGCAGAGCTGGCATTTACTGCCAGCTCTGCTAGCAAGCACCATCTGCAGCTGTATGGACAGCTACTGTGTTGACATTGCAGAGACTACAGTGTTTCCCCTAGAATTTTTTTCAGCTGTGGGTCGTTGTGACCCCCCCCCTTGCCGCTCCAGGAGCTACGCTGTTACATTCACGTTACGTTACACATGCTACTCGCTATACAGACCGTGTATGAGCTTAAATGTTACCCTTCACATTAGTGGAAGACGCTCTGACAGGATTTGATGTGCTCATTGATGACACATAACAAGTCGAAAATAACGTTGTGTTGTTGTGCTCACACAGCACAAGTAGAAATTATTAGTGCCGCATTGATAATAATGCTACGAATGCTATTAATGCTACTTGCTATATAGACCAAGTATAAGCTTGAATGTTACGTTGATTAACTTTGACCTAACTTAGCTTTAACTTCGGCCTAACTTGATTAACTTTGACCTAACTTAACTTTAACTTTGGCCTAACTTGATTAACTTTGACCTAACGCCTTATAGACATAACAGAAGAGGGTCCAACAAGATTTGATGCGCTCCTTTATGACTCATAACAAGTCGGAAATAACGTTGTGTGTTGTTGTGCTCACACAGTGCATGTAGAATCATTCAGCGGTGCGCCACTGCTGAATGAATGTAGGGGAAACACTGCTGATACATGTGAGTCCAAGGTAGAATTATATAAGATAAAAACTTTTTTTTTATGTGTGGCGGCTTATTTTAGCCGTGGCAGTGCGCCACGATCAATTGCATGTAGGGGAAACCCTGGAGTAATAAGAATTATTTATGTAACGTGCCACCTGAGTGTGCATACCTGAGTACTTAAAGTGTGTGGATTTGGTGGCAAACTTGCCTGCATCGTCCAGCCCACAGGCTAATTTTATTTTATTTTATTTTTTTCATTAACAGATGTAAACTTTGACCTAACTCCTTAGAGACATGATAGAAGAGAATTAAATTACTGTCTGCAGTTTCACCAATCACTGACCACAGTCTGATCAAACTGACATAATAGAAATAAAAAGTTTGAGGAGAGGAAACCTGATAGCAGAAAATCCCACCCAGAGATCTGCAGGATGTCTGCATTTTACTGACAAATGAATTCAGTGTATGATTGAAATGTGTGACTGTGTGAGTCTGTTGTTCACTCACTCTGTGTGTATTTGTGTGTGTGTGTTTGTAGGACGTCACACGCCCGGGCCAAAGGCGAGGCTGCAGACCAGGCTGCACAGTCGGCCAGTCAGGACTCAGATATCGCCCGAGCAGTCGCCCGAGAGTTGTCCCCCTCCTTCCACCAACCAGGTACGACAACAACACTAATACACAACAACATAAGCACCAGTCTGTGATGGACAACCAACATTTTCACAAATCAGTTAAAAGAAATCCTACATTGAAGGGATGTTGATCAATTTCAACGAAATCTAAACTACATATAGTTGTGAATTGTGCCTCAGTGACTCACTAACTAATGACAGTGTCCAGGATGCTGCAGTCTGGAGCTTCATTCACTGCTTTCTGTATGTTATCAGTTTTTAGTTGTAACATTTGTTATTATTCTGAAGTGAGTTATTAGAGTAAATGTGATTTAAGGTCCTTACGTATCGGGACTGTTTTTGTCTTGCGATTATTTCAGACGTCAATATTTTTTTCCAAACCCATATCCTGTCAATAGAAGTGTTCACATCAGCAACGTTTTCCCATCCTGTGATATTGCGGCATTTGTTTTTTCAGATCACAGTCGATTTTTCTAAAGTTTCAGACTGTGTGTCCACTTCTGACCAGTCAGATTGCGTGTTGTTGCGACGTCTGATTCACCGGTATATCCAACATATCTAACATATGCGACTGGCTAATTGTTTACGTGTCAGAAACAGAGTGCTTTTTGATAAAAGACACAAATATTACAAAGATAACGACCTGAAGGACAACTTATGGAGAGTCATAGCATTGGATTTTTCATATGAGGATAGTTTGTGAGCTTTAACATTTTGCTAAACATCTTTGTTTATCTTTCATCTGTGCTAACATTAGCTAACAATTGTTACCATAGTTTCATGTACTTACAGTATCTGGTACTGGCCCCGACTCAGTACATGTTATCATGACAGACAGACGTCTCAACACTTGTGTCTAATCAGAACTGAAAACAATCAGCAACCGTGGTACAGTTTCAGCTCCTTAACCAAGCAGTGAAACTCATCAAGTTCTCTTCTTTTTTGTAATATTGGATGCACCCATGTGCTACATTTATTTTTCTTTTGAGAAAGCAAAAGGAGTACCAATTCGCCATCACTTTAAGTTGAAGTAGACTCCATTTTTGTCTTCTCGCTTCCAGCCGGGATGCTGTGTGTTGTTAAGGGAAGGTCCCACCCTCTTAGTCTCTGATTGGCTATAAGTGCTGACCATTTGGCTTGAGCGTGTGATGACGTTTTCAGCTTTTCTGGCCAGTCAGAGGCGAAGGAGGCAGGACTTTCCCCCAGAAAAGTCTTCCCTGGGATGCATCTTTTACCCCCCTGAAAGTCGCAAAATCGCGTCCGGCTTCATGTGTATAGTCAGGCGCTACAAATTCGCCTGAGAATATTTCGTGTTCTATATTCGTGTTGGTGTGTAAGGATCTTTATTCTGAAACTTTATAATGAATGTGTGGCGTGACTGGTGTGTTTTGAGGACCGAGAAGCAGACACAGAGGCAGATATCAACATAAGATGTAATTTTAATGTCCAAACTCAGGTCAAAGGCAAAAAGAGGAAGTCCGATAGGCTGGTTGGCTGGCTGTCGTGTGGGCTGGAGACACTGCAGGAAAAATAGAGGAGAGGGAAATGAGTAAACATACAATGAATCAGGAACTGCAGAGTTACTGGTACAAATTCACGAAAGGAGGCCAGGAGACGCGTCTGTACCACTGGGAAGTGAAGACAATACTCAGGCGCTGAGACTGAGGGCTGCAGGCTTCTTAAAGTGCCTTGATTGGAGATGTGGAGCAGGTGTGTAGTCTCACTCAGCCTCAGCGACCGGGGGAGGGGAGGAAGCTCTGGAAGAGAATAAAGCCAGACCAGGCAAACAAGGAAACACAGGAAGTCCAACTAAAATAAAACAAGAGGAGGAGGCGTCTCACCACAGAATGAACAAAAACAGTTTTGATTTGACACTATGATAGTTTTTGTAACTGCTGATCTTTATGTGAATGAGCTGAGCAGCAATAAGCTGATCCTAACTTCAAACCCTAATTCACATGAGATGGCAGCCCCCCATACCAGGCACAAACAGGGGGGTACTGATACCCACCTCTCTATTCTTAAGAGAAAGTAAACTAAAACATATTTTGTGCGCAAAAAAGAGCCACATATCTTACTATCACTTCAGACTATGAAACAGTGTAAACATGCATATTCCATTTTACAGATATCTTATCAACACCACAGGGTTTCTTTAAACTTGTATCTAACATAAGTACATATAGAATATTTCAAGACTGAGGTCATTTACCTCACTGTGAATTTAAACTTGAGCTATAAGAGCGAGAAGTGTGACGAGACGCCGCTACAGCTGTAGTCTACTGCACTTTGAAGACAGAGCTTTCGTAAAACTCATGCCACGTTGAGGTGAATACTTAGTCAAACTGGACATGCTTCCTCCTGTGCTAACTGAGTCACCTTTTTTTTTTAATCTTTGCAGCGGTTACTGCGTCACAAATGAGGCAATGTTCCCCTGACACAGCAGGTCCTGGCAGATCAGTAGAGCTTTATATAGACTCCAAAATCCTCACTGAGGTTAAACGATAAAAGATCTGTTACCATCAGGAACAAAAAACTAAATCCATGAATCTCATCCATGAATCTGGAACATGTTCTTAACCTGTACTTAATTGTCATATTCAGTGATTTATCAGAGATTTTCACATCACAGAAACCAGAGTGTCCATCTTATCAGTGGTAAAGAAGATTGTGACAGGAAGGTGTTCTATAAAAACACATCATCCTCTTCGTATTATGCTCTGTCATCCATTCTCTAATTTCACCATGAGGTTCATTTAGATATCCAGGCCCTGACTTTGTTTTCTGTTGTATCTTAGTGTGTGTTCACAAACAAGTTTTGTTTGCTCACATATATAGTACAGCCCAAAAGTTTGGACACACCTTCTCATTCAATGTCTTTTCTTTATTTTTTATATGACTATTTACATTGTAGATTATCACTGAGGGCAACAAAACTATGAATGAACTTGTGGAATTTTTTACTTATTAAAAAAGTGTGAAATAACTGAAAACAAGTTTTATATTCTAGTTTCTTTAAAATAGCCACCCTTTGCTCTTGATGACAGAAGTACTTAGTGACTGACTCTGTCATTCACGAGGTAACCCTGACAAGACACATCTGTGGAGTAAAAACCATTTCAGGTGACTACCTCATGAAGCTCATTGAGAGAACAGCAAAAGTTTGCAGCGCTATCAAAAAAGCAAAGGGTGACTACTTTGAGGAATCTAAAATATAAAACATGTTTTCAGTTATTTCACACTTTTTTCTTAAGCACGATTGCACATGTGTTCATTCATAGTTTTGATGCCTTCACTAAGAATCTACAATTTAAATAGTAATGAGAATAAAGAAAATGCATTGAATGAGAAGGTGTGTCCAAACTTTTGACCTGTACTGTAGACTCTTTGGTTTCACTTAGGGCCCGACCGATATGGATTTTTTTGGGCCAATGCCGATACCTAATTTTAGGGGGGAAAAATTTTGATGACCGATCAATCAGCCGATTTTAAATTTTTTTTATGAAGTTCTAAAAGATATGTATATACTGTAGATATCTGCTCTTCACGCCGACAGGTAGCCTGACTGACCAAACTCAGACCAGTGCCTCCACGTCTTAACTCACGTTACTCATTTCCGGTCCGGTCTCATCTGGAGACACGCAGCTGCCTCAGTTAGAGAAGTAGCTTTATCGCGTATTGTGTACTGTTGTTTATTCTGGCACGGCTAACAGTGTAGCAAGGCTAATAGCAGATGGCTAACTCTAACTTTAGCTTGCATATTACATGGTGCTTCACCGTTAAGCACAGCGGGGAACATCGTGAAGTGGGTTGAACTGAAACTTGTTCACTTCACTATCCCCTTTCCAAACATCACAACTAGTGTTTTGAAATGTTTACTAAAAATATGATTCTGTCAACCTCTGTGTGTTCCAGGCCCTGACTACATTCGACAGAAGTACAACGAGCCGGTGGAGGTGAAGGAGGTAGTGGAGGAGAAGGAGAAGTCTCCATCAGGAAGTCCTCATTTCTACAGGAAAGGTACAACGCCTAGCCAGTCCCCCTCTGAGAGTCCAGGAGCCAGCCCCCCTCCCTCACCCTCAGCCGCAAAATTGTCCTTTTTCAGCAGTAAAACTCCAGCCAGCACCGCCCCTGCTGTCAAAGAGAACAAACCCCCCACAGCTGAGTCCCTGACGGCAGGTAGGACATGAAGTGAACATATTACTGTTTAATAAGAACTGTACTTCATATCTGACTAACACAGTGAAACATCCATTAGCAGCTTAACAAGATTCAGCTCATGGTTTAATAACCAGCAGAGTGAACACATGATTCATCTGACAGAGAGTTAGAGCAGCACGACCAGGACAAACAAGAACTTATCTGGTTTATAGGCCTGTGAGCTACATGGAGCGAGAAGACTGCAGACGACTTCTGAGGAAAAGTCTGTCTCTGGTTTGTTTTCGGGACTGAAAAATGAAGCCAGTTGTGAAAAGCCTTTGCTCTTTTGTTTCACTAAACTCAAGTCATCATCACCACTGTTAACATAATAAACCTGAAAACTCCTAAAGTGCACCACTTTAGAAATATGACATGAAAAGTTGCACACAGCAGTGAATGGGTCCTCTGTGTTTGTCTACTATAGTGTCTTTATCAGACAAGAAAATAGTCTAAAAGGCTCTGAGTTTTGATGTGTTGGGAATACAACATAAAGTGTGAAGTACTTGCGTAAGTATCATCCCACATCATGGCAAACTCAGTTCATGCCTCTTTGGTCAGGTGGTCCTTTAATGCCAAAGCAGCAGTGGTATATACAGTAGATATTTGCAGAAAGGACCTGTTTTCTATCAAGTTAAAGGTAGTTGAACTCTATGGTTAAATTGCAGGACACCACACCAAAGAGGCCAATTAACCTAACCCCACTTCTGCATGTTTTTGGGATGTGGGAGGAAACCGGAGTACCTGGAGTAAACCCACGCAGACACAGGGAGAACATGCAAACTCCACACAGAAACGCCCTGACCCGGATTCGAACCCAGGACCTTCTTGCTGTGAGACGACACTGCTCAACATATCCATACCAAAAAAAAAACAGATCAATCCACACTCTGGGTTGGTGGTTTGATCTTCCTTTACTTCTTTGTAGCTGGGCAAAGAAACTGAACCTCCAAACCACCCACTGCTCCTCAGACAAGAGGAGGATTTGCTCCTGGGACGATCTATCATCACTTTGGTTAACTGCTTGTCTTCTGCTTTCTTCTGCAGGAATCACAAAGGCAGCATCTAAACTGTCTCTCAAACAGGAAGTGAGACAACAGGAAGTGAGACAACAGGAGGCGCCTGCTGCTGTCAAACCAGCTGTTTCCACGACCACCACCACCAGTTACCCCAGCAACGGGCAGATTCACTCTCAGTACCATGGTTACTATGTCATGGCCGATGTCAAGGCCCCACCACCGGAAGACGCAATCGGTTTGGAGGAAGACTTCCACCCGTCAAGTCTTGCACGCCTGCCACCACCTGCCAAACAGATTCTGGCACCAGCACCGAAACCCTTGCCAGCCCGGAGCCCCTCACCGGCTCCCCCCAAAGAGTCTGCCAAAGCTCCAGAGTCTGCCAAGCCAAAACGACAGGAATCAACCAAACCAAAGAGCCTCGCAGAAACCAAGAAAGCTAGCATGGAGATAGCTCCTGAAATAATAGAAGAAGAGTCGGTGAGTGAGACTGCATTGCAAAGATTTGCTCTAGATTTAAACCTGAAGAGTAGAGCACATCTACATGTCTTACAGGGGTCTCTGACTGTTCTGTCCTACTGGTTTGAAGTTTTAAAACCAAAGGCATCATGACTAGTTTGGAGATCTGGTTCAGAAAAATCCACTCAGCTCAGGCAGGGATTAAACCCATGAACTGGTTCAGGTAATGCTGGAAGACTTCAGCCTGTTCCAGTCTGTGAACTACCTTCCTCTTTGATGGTGCAACATCCATTGAAGTGGTTCAATGGTTTATGACTATTGAGAATCAAAAGATGTTTTGGGCCTTTAATGGCTGATGATACTGAGCTCACACAGGTGACCCTGAGTTCAGTGCTGTTCTGGACATTCAGATAATGCATTGCAAATGGTACTGAGAAATCTAGACAGGTCAAAATACCAGTTCGCTCCATATTTTTTAGTTTAGTTGCAAGCTTTTGTCAAGGGCTGTGAATTTCAATCATTTTAGCTTTCATTCTGCCAGCCTGGGACAACATCGAGAATCTTTGCATGATTAGCAGTTCTAAAAACTCCTTATCGTTCCTTGACTGGTGTCCCTGAAAACTCTAATTCCAGCTCTATTCAGCATTTATCTGAAACGCTGCATTTTGGCTAACTTTATACTGATAGAGTGTTACTTTTTACACAGCTTTGTAATCATCAAACAACCTAAGGTTTCTTTTGGAAAACATCTGACCTGAGCTGGTGGTGCCCACATCAGCTGACTGTTAAGCTATGTTATCATACATTATAGTCCCATTATCTCCTTTGTGATATGTCCTCAAGCTTGTGGCTCTGAGCTTCATGAAGGTCTTCACAGATAAACAGCTCCAGTTTTCAGTAACAGCTGAGACTCAAGTCCGGCTTGTATTTGTCTTTATTTACAAAGGAGTCCTCAGTGAAGTGGCCAGCACTAACAGCTTTGGTTCCCTCTGTCTTCTTGAGCCTTCGTCTTTGAGAAGAGAAAATAGCTGAGACTTTCCTTCATGACCAAAATAAGAGTGAAACTCTCAGAGACAGACTGAACCAACATAGAGAAGAGAAGAGGAGGAAGAGGAGCAGGAAATCAGACTATATAGCTTTTGGGTGGATGTGTCCTCTACTATCATCCTAATATTGTGGACACATGTCACATCATTTAGAAATCTGTAAAACTCACCTGTAGATGACATCCTTTTTCTCACATTATATTTCTCTAACTTTGCAGTGGGTTAATATTGACATCCAGCACTCATTAGTTAGCTAAAAAAGAGATAATTAAAAGCGGAGAGCATCTCTTATGGTGGAGTCAGTCTGGAGGTGGAGAGAGATGCTAATCATGCCTAAATGAATTCATTTGAACCCATCATAAACTTTGATCATAAATAAGAACTAACAAGTCTTTCTTGTGTCTTCTTCACAGGGCCCTAACTCTATCTTGGTGGTCTTGGTGATGTTGTTGAATGTAGGTCTAGCTATCATTTTTGTCCATTTCCTCACCTGACCAAATCTTAACTCAGGTAAGAATTGATATCATTGTTATCACTCGTATTAGATCATTTGGTTTTTTTTTTAATCCAATCCTGCTTTTGATGAAACTGAAATAGTATTGGTGCTTTATATGTGAATGGTTCAATGTTAAGAATAGTTCACTGTAATGCTCCAGATCTCCGGACTGAATCTCTGAATGCATAATTTCTCTGTGTAGATTTCTTTAGAAAATAGAAATGCGTCTCCTAATTTAGTAAAGGTGGCATTTTCAATCTGACAAGAAGCCTTTTCTACAGCTGGAATGACATCTACTGGACCTCTTAAGGTCCTTACACACCAGGACCGATGCAAATATACAACGTGAAATTATGAAATATTCGGAGGCAAGTTTTGACGCGCCTGACTATACACATCAAGCGCGATGTAATTTTGCGACTTTCGGGGGGGAAAAAAGACGCATCCCGGGTGGAAGTGAGAAGACTGAAACAACAGACTTACTGTTTTTAAGTTCTGATTAGACACTAGTGTTGAGATGGCTGTCTGTCATGATAGCATGTACTGATTCGGGGCCAGTACCAGATAAGATAGAGATAGAGTAGAATGGGTGCGGATGGTGCAATAACGGCTCAGGGTAGAAGCCGTTTTTCAGTCTGTGAGTTTCTCCTTGAGGAACAGTTCAAGCAGATGGTGGCCAGGATGGGGTGAGTCTCTGAGTATGCTTCGGGCTCTTTAGAGACAGTGTGCATTAGAAATGAACTCAAAAGAGTGAGTTTCTGGGCAGAGTGTATGACCCTGGGAGCACTTTCTTTTCAGCAGCAGTGCAACTGGCGAACCAGAGCGTGATGCTGTAGTACAGCACTGACTCGATGGAGCAGCGATAGAGGGACACCGACAGACTCTTCACCAAGTCAGTCTCTGTTGGGGCTTTGTCAGGAGTATGACTCTAAAACAGGTTGTAAGGACTGGTGGAGGTGGAGACTGAAGGTTATGCCATATTTCCACATGAAAGTTTAATGTGGCCTCAAAGTCAGATAACTTGACACAGGAACAAAAGGAGTTTGGAACAGGACTGCTGGGTGTAAGACAAATAACAGCTCCTCTGTCTGGAGGTCAAAACACTGAATATCGTCTCCATTAGATCAATCCAGTATTGTGTTGAAGCCAATATCTTTGGTTTAACACACAGATTATTAAAACACAATACAAACCATTGAAGGCACACTGACTTCAGACAGAAGACACCCTAAATAGTCACCTCCGACTGAGGTGTCTCCCAGCAGAAATGACAGTGATGGACGGAGACAAATGACTCTATTTTAAAACCCTGGTCATCTTCTCTTTTTAGAACAACAGAATTTGATTTAGAAACAGAGAAAACACAACAAATCAGATGTTAAAGCTGAAAAACTTAATTGGTTATATATTGCTTATTGGTTATATATTGGTTATATTTTATTTATATATATTTGTTTTTTAATTTGATATCAGCAACATGTTTGTAAAAGGTTATTAGAGAAACAACCAAACAGGTAAAAAGTAGGGCTGATTTAAAAAAAAAAAATTATGAAGTTATATATATACAGTAGATATCTACAGTAGATATCTACTGTATATTGTATACTGTACATATACTGTTGGCTACTGCTCTTCACGCCGACAGGAAGACCGACTGATCAAACTTGGTGCATCCGCGTCTTAACTCACATTACCCATTTCCGGTCCGGTCTCATCTGGAGACATGCAGCTGCCTCAGAAAGAGAAGTAGCTCGATCAAGTAATGTGTGCTGTTGTTTATTCTACCATTACTGACACGGCTAACAGTGTAGCAAGGCTAATAGCAGATGGCTAACTCTTGCATATTACATGGTGCTTCACCATTAACTCGGCGTGACCGAGACCAGCACAGCGGGAAACATTGTGAAGTGGGTTGATCTGAAACTTGTTGACTTATTGTGTATTTCACAAACTGGTTTATTTACCATTGAGGTGGACCACTCTCCTCTGTGCGTCCCTGTGAGGTAGTTAGTGGATGAAGATTGTCATGAGGTCGCTGCGCCATCTACAGGATAAGTCGGGGATCTTTTCAAATGGCGAAACATTTTCGAAGTGAAACCGAATCTTATTTTTCGCATTTTTTTCTGAATATATCAGCGAAAATTGGCAAGTTTTGGCTGATTACCGATTAGTCTCAAACGGGCTAAAATTGGCCGATTTAATCGGTTCGCCGATAAATCGGTCGGGCCCTAGTAAAAAGTTTTGTGATGCTAAAAAAAAAAAAAAAGCTGGAGGAACATCTCCAACTGATGAGGTTAGTCACATGACTTGGTATAAAAGGGCATTCAGAGAGGCTGAGTCTCTCAGAAGGAAAGATGGGAAGAAGTCCACCACTCTGTGAGAGACTGTGTGAGCTAATAGATCAGCAGTTTCAGAATAATGTTCCTGAGAGTCAAATGTGAAAGAATGAGTGGGTTTTATCATCCATAGAACATCATATCATTAAAGATTCTGATAATCTAGAGAAATCTCTGTACTAAAGGAACAAAGACCAAAATCAAGACTGGATGGTCCTGATCCGTATCCTCAGACCCTCAGCCTGCATTATAAACACTCAGGACTCTGTAGTGGGAACCACTGCATGAACCTCCAAAAATATATGAATCCAGTTCATCACTGCAACCACAAATGAAGTTAAAACTGAACCATGCAAAAAGAAAACCAGATATAAACATAATCCAGAAACACCAGAGACTTCTCTGAACCTGAGTCCATTTGAGCTGGAATGAGGTGAAGAGGAAAACCGTCCCATGGTCCGACCAATCAAAGTCTGACATTGTTTCTGAAAATATTGGATCCAGTTCATCCAAGAATGAGAGTGACCACCTGGCTTGTTCTCAGCTCTCAGTTCAAAGCCAGCATCCCTGATCGTATTAGAGGTGTTTATGACATGGACGGCTTACACAATAGTGAGGTGAACACGTCCCTGTACCTTTTTTTGAAACATGTTGCTGTAATCAAATCCATATTGGCAAACATGTTCAGTGTCGACTTTGGATTTGTTGTCTTTGAACAGTGGTTCTCAAGTCCAGTCCTCGAGGCCCACTGTCCTGCATGTTTTGGATGTTTCCCTGCTCCAACACACCTGATTCAAATGATCAGCTCGTTATTAAGCCATTGCAGAGCTTGATAACGAGCTGATCATTTGAATCAGGTGTGTTGGAGCAGGGAAACATCCAAAACATGCAGGACAGTGGGCCTCGAGGACTGGACTTGAGAACCACTGTCTTTGAATATTGATACAGTTTTCAAACCATTAAAATCTAATTTCATTTTTTTTTCAGTAACACTTGACTCCGTGTTTTTGGGATGGGGTTGTTCCTGTATTTACTGGGTAGTTTTTTACATGTCTGCAAACAGAGTATCTGATGCGTTATGCAGAAAGACTGTCCCTAATCCTGAACTTTTCTTACCTTGCAGTGGACTCATCCAAACTAGGAGTCGCTAACTCTCCGTCAGCCAAAGGGGCCTTTTCAAATATGCCGCCAGTCAGAACGGCAGACACCAGCAGGACGCAGGATTGAAAATAGACGGATGAAGGAGGAGGAGGAGGAGGAGGAGATGGAGATGTGAAGGGAGATAACAGAATGAGCAAAGAGAAGGTGAAAAAGCAGAGACAGAGAAAGATGAAACCTGCACCACCACCCTCTCACCCCCCGGGTGTCTGAGTTGGACCTGATTGGACTGGCGATGATTTGTGACTCCACTCAGAGTGCAGTGACAGCTGAAGCAGGCAGTGGCTGTTTAGAATGGGCCCCCCAAGCCCCTCCACCATGGTTAGAAATAACAGGAGGCCTGCAGAGGAGAGTGAATGGGAGTGAGTGTAAGACCTGGCATCTGTAATGCCCATAAATGCCTGTAATGTGTGTGTGTGTATGTATGTTTGTGTGTGTGTGTCTGTGTGTGTGTGATCATCCAACTGTTCAGCTCGTTTGGAAGCTTTGAAATGCTGCAATAAAAAGCTTGTGCGTCGTCCAGCTGAGTGAAAGAATATTTGTTTCCTAACGAGGAGAGACAGCGCTGATTCTTGAGAAGATGGTACCGATCCTCAGGTCCATGTTCGCGGGTTGCATGATCCTTTCATTTAGCTTCAACATAAGGAACACATGCACAATCTGATAAGTTGCATAAAACCTTTTGAACTGTGGTGCACTTTAATTGAGCTGCTCAGCAGGTCAGTCACACCAATCAATGCCTTCCCGCTGCCATCTGCTGCACGCCACGTCCATCAAACACCACTCTGCTCCATGACCAGATCTGAACCAACCGAGGACCTTCACTGAATCTCTGTTTCTTTTCTCTTACATAAAAATCCAGCAGAGCTGTTTGGACAGAGGCCAGCACAGTGTGCATATTTTAGTGTGTTTAACATTCACATAAGTGTGTGTGAGTGTGGTTGGGCAGCGGGGGGTGCTCCGGATCTGTTCGCAGATGCACTTTGAGCTGATGGATGCCAGCAGCTGCCTTACCGTTTTACAGAGTGACGTGTTGGTGGGTGAGAAGGGCCGGGGCAGGAATGTGAAGCGCTCGGCTGTTCTCCCTCTGTCATGTCCTGGGAGAGCGGCGCTATTTATACCCGTCTGTCTATCGATCTGTTCAGATCTGTTTTTATCTCACTGCTCGCTGCTTCACACACCACATAGGCCGGCTTTTTATTCCAGAAGAACAGAACAGAGTCACATTAAGAAAACCAACCTCTGATTTAAAGGTTCATGAAAAGAACAGGACTTTTTATGGGTACAGGAGGTGTAATGTTTTTTTTTTAAAAGCTAAAATTCTTTCTTTTTAATAAAGTCAGCCTTCTTTTAGTGTGACTCACACTTAGGTTAGATATAAAAGTTAGCATATTTAGAAACACTCCCTCTCAGCTCTCTCTCCTTTGACTAAACCTAACGCTTTGAGCACTTTAAACAGGAACACTACTGTTAGTCCCATGTTCAGCCAGCTTTACACTTCTCTGTCAACAGTCAGGAGCAACAGAGTCTGCTCTACCCCGCCCAAACACTAATCGGTAGTGTGATTTCTATGCTGGTCATACCTTCAGTTTCTGGATCCACTTTGCTCTTGGCCTGTTTACACACAGAAACTTTGAACCTGAGCAAAGCATGTCAGAGATGGAGAATTGTGGATATATGGTTGCTGAATTAGTGTGGACAGAGTTCGGAGATGCCTTTGCGCTTGCTGTGTATGTTTCGACTCTGCTGACCAATCATGGGGGTTATTGTCTGCATTACTCCGGCGTGTACCTACAGTTATAAGGAGGTACATTTCAGGAATTTGCATGGGTACAGGGATACACGTAGGAGCATAGATATGATGCAGAAGTATAGATCGGGCCTAAATCTGATTAAATACTGTATATATATATATATATATATATATATATATATATATATATATATATATATATTATATATTATATTATTATATATATGTATATGTATATATATATATATATATATATATATATATATATATGTATGTATATGTATATATATGTATATATATATATATATATATATATGTGTGTGTTTTCTCCCCCCTGATTCAAATGATCAGCTCGTTATTAAGCCATTACAGAGCTTGATAACGAGCTGATCATTTGAATCAGGTGTGTTGGAGCAGGGAAACATCCAAAACATGCAGGACAGTGGGCCTCGAGGACTGGACTTGAGAACCACTGATTCAGAGGATCACATAAAAATGTGTGGCCCTTGTTTGGAGGTAAAGTAAACAGTGTGGTCATCTTTAAGTTTGCAGCTCTGAGTTAAGTTTAAGTTCTGAAGTTGTGTTTAGTGTGCGAGTCACACCTGGGGGAAGATAGTCAACTCGACTCGAGTAATCCCGACGTAACTGTTCTCACTGACCCTGGCTGAGGAGGTCATACTGAACAGTCCCATAGAGCCAATTATCAATCAACCCAGAGTTACTCTGAGCATGTTCTCAGAAAGGGGCCGGGGTTAGACTCGTGACCAATCACAGTCACAGATTCAACGCATTTTTCAAACAGAGCAAACTGAGGTCAAAGCTCCTGTGACGAGTGTTCTTGACTTGTATAAAACAGACTGAGATTTATATTAATGCTTTTCATGATCAAGGCCATCAGGGACAAGGTGGGCCAATTTTCATCCTTAAAACTGGTGTGAGCACTACTTAAGAGTATAGAAGATACTCATACACAATGAGTAAGAGATGAATTTTTAGACGCCTGTCTGCGTCTGTATGTTGGCTATGTACGATTATCCTAAACGTCACCTATAGCTCAGGTGTTCAGCCTGAGTGCCGCAGGAAGAAGTGAGCCACCTCCATCGTACTGAAAAGACTGCTGTCAGTTCACGGATATGTCGGCCTAAAAATCATCAGCTAAATATTTCCTCTCTTTGCTGTGAGCTGATGTTTACGGGGTCCTCTGCTGAAGGACTGCAGTCATCTTCAGCAGTCAGAGTGAGGAAGACGAGTGCCGTTTGGAGTAAATCACAGTAGTTCTCTGTATATGTTGATATTTTTATGACATTGATTACTTTAACTTGGAACGTTTAAAATTTGCAGTGCTCTAAGTACAGAAAAATTATGTGAAGTAGAGAGAAAACTGAGTGCTGGTGATGAATATTATTTATTGATTGATCTGTTTGTACGTTTGGTGATTATACTGAATAACAGGATAGCTGCAGTGAGCAACACGCTCTCATGATTGATGTAAAAACTACAGATACTGTAGATATGCTTTATTCGTGCTTTGTCTTTTATGACTCATTTGAATGCAGATTTAGGGGTCAGGAAAAAATTAGGGTGAGAATCTTTTTTTTTTTTGTAAATACAGGCTGTGTGAGGCTAGTTTTCAGAGAGTTTGATTGTCTTGATTTTCTCTGATGATTTTTTCTATTTGAAGTGAGTGATTTCTGTTTTTTCAGCTGTGTTGAATTTAACTGATTGATTGATCGTTGACTAATATGCATGATGACATGTCGGATTTATTTTTGTGTTTGGATTAAGTTTACAGATTTGGACTCAATGTGGAGTTTACTTTGGGAGAAGACAAAGTCTAGTTTTAAAGGTGTTTCCACAATGGGGCGTTAGGTTGTGATTGTGGTGCAGAGTTTGGATATCAGAGTAAAGTTTTCTGCAAAGTTTGAGTGTCTTTGTGTAGGTTAGGCTGCAGGGAGTTACATTTACAGAGTGAAACGTCCAGATTTCTTGTTGAGTTTGTAGTGTCAGCCTGAAATGCTGCTGTTTGGGTTGTATTGTTTGTTAATAAGAAAGAAGTGAATCAAAGGCTCATCACCCTTTGTAAAGGACCGTGAGAACCATGAGACCATCCCCTTGATTCTGATAGAAAAATAAATAAATAAAAAACCTCAAGGTATATCAGTAGTTCCCTTTAATAAATAACATTGAATCAAACAGAGATAGGAGCTCATGTTTATTTCAATCTGCTGCAGATTTCACCCTGTTGGCTGGAGTAACTGATTTAAACACAAACATACATGGGAGTTATATGAGCTGTTATTCATCTTTACTAATTCTTTAGATCAGTGGTTATTAACTGGTCTCACTATGGGACCCACATTTTCCCATGGTCCTTAAGTCGCAACCCACTTTTATAGAATTCAAACCAAGTAAATTAATCATTTTAATTAAAAAAAACCTTTAAAGACTCTAATCTGTAACATAAATCCACTTGATTTATTGAGTGAAGTGCCTTTCAGAGCACATGAAGGGGACAACATGAGGACGACAACTACTGAAGTTGCGTGTACAGCAAATTTTGAATATCTATTAAAAATATCGCATTAAATATTTACTTTTTTGACCGGCTGTTCGTGACCCATCCAGAACGTGTCCGTGACCCACTTTTGGGTCGGGACCCACCAGTTGAAAACCACTGCTTTAGATATTAGGAAACTAATGGAAACATTACCTGGAAAGATGAGTAAGTAATATATACTGTGACTCTGCAAAGGTTTTTCTTTTTGTTTTTTCTTTTTTTTTTAACATGAGAAAGAAAACTATTTAATTGTGGTAAATGGTGTAAAATGAACAAAATCACAGTTTGAATTTCATTTAAATTCAAGATGATTTTCTGTCTCTTTTACAAGTAAAAATACTGCAGATATGTTTGAAATTATGTAAGAATCACTGCTCACATACTCCCATCCATCCTTTATACCGTCAGAAAGTGTGTCCACTAGAGGGCACCTGACAAGTCAAAAAGTAAGAAAAATAAATAAATAAATAAAAACAATGAGTGTGGTTTTGACCTGCTCTTTTTTGGAAAGCATCTTGGGCTAACGACTGTTGTGATTTGGCGCTATATAAATAAAATTTGATTTGATTGATTGCTTGAATTTGAAAAAGTGAGGAAGGTGTCGATTCTGTTGAAACAAAGATGTGCCACTGGTTAAGTAACATCATTAACAACATATTTACGGTTTCTAGCCAACATACACGGTCTGTTCCAGGTGCTAGTGACCCCCCCCCCCAAAAAAAGGTGCAAAATTTGATGTTTGTTGAAAGTAGGAGTATTATTTTAATCCTGGTTTTCAATCCAATTGAAGCAGAAAGTGACCTTTTGATGAGTGAATGAAGTACGACAATAATGGTGCTTTTGATGTGTGTAGAGCAGAGTTATTTTTTAGTATTATATTTATTATTGAAGGAAAGTTGAATTTATTTGGCAGGAAGAACAGATTGATAGAGTCGACCTGAACTTGATGGTTTGTCTTTAGTTTTTGTTGGAGGACAGGCAGAGTGAGCAGAGAAGGTGATGTGTTGGTTATATTTTCAGCTATGTGCGTTAACAGAGTGGGAGGAGGAAGGAAGTCCTGGGTTAGAGGGTTAAAGATAATCTGAACTGTATGTGTCTTTTAATATACTGTTGTAAAATCAGAGCTGGGCACACAACTGTTGCTCCATGAAGCCTTAAACATTAATACACAGATGTTATTTGAAAACAGTTATCAAATCATTCACTTCCTCCCACCACCAGTGACCTCCGAACTCATTGCTTTGAAGTAATCTGTGGATTTTTGGAGATGATATGATTGAATCTGTTACTGGTCTTGGATTATGAGTTCCCGTACGGAGCATCATAACTGGTTGTTAATGTTAATTCAAACAGAGTCGACAGACTGACATCAATGTTGACATCTCTGATAAAGTTACATTTCTGATCAGCTGTGGGTGAAACCAGTCCGGTCTCAGCGCTGCCTGCAGTAGACTCCCTCTAAAAGAACATGTCTCAGGATGTCAAAACAGAACAACAGGGATAAATGCATCTGTTTCAGTGACTTTACTAAAGCACCGCAGATGTGTTTGTGCAAATCCTTCAGCTCAACTTGAACTTTGACCAGACTGTGAGCATGCGGCAGGGCTGACCTGAACATTACAGACGAGCTCTGTTATAATCAAAGCACAAATAGGTGCATACATTAATTAAACACAGATTGATGTCAGTCATGAATCTTTTTTTTTTTATCTTGTATTTTTCTACTTAAGGAAAAAAGTCTCCAAATAGTATTTTCCCAAAGTCTGTCACAGTGACTCTCCTCAGGTCAAGTGTTTGCATCAGGACAAACAGATGCAAACACTCATTGTTAAAAAAAGAAAACTTTTCTAAGTTGTTTTATATTCTCACTCAAAGACAAACAGACCTATGATTGAATATGATCATTGAAATCAACATCATGATGTGCTTATTTCATAAAAACATCATGAAGACGTGTCGATGATGGTGAAATTACAGCCAAATCTATTTATTACCATTAATCACAGTGAAAAAGTGTCTTCAAAACATGCTTAAAGTCCGTCCACTGTCATAAAGTCTCAGGAATAATGTATAGATGGTTTTAAAATTCCAGTTTAAATCTTTTAATTATCATCATAACTCACTAAAGATTTGATAATGATTGTGAAATTACAGTCAAACTGTTTGTAGATGTCAGAAAACAATAAAAATATGTTGATCATTACAGGTCACAGAAAAAAATGGGTCACTGTGGTTGACTTGGTAAAAATCTGGTTGACTCCATACAATGACTGTATACTTTGATGGATTCTCATTTCAACTCGGTAAAAATGGGGTAACAGTTGATTTAATGGGGATTTAAATTGCTCATTGTCTTTAAATCAGACGAAAAATCTGTAGTTGGTCAAGAGACCATGATAGAAATCTGTCTGCCATCATTAAGTTACAGTTAAAACCAGTTAGATCCTGCTTAAATCCAGCGTCTGTCTCACAACCAATCAGGTTGGGGGAAAAGGAGAATGGCTTTGTTTACAGTCAGAAAGAGCGGGACGCTCAAAAAATGTAAACTGTTGACTACACAGACATAACCAAACACAGCGATATCATTATATCCTCAAATGTCATCAATAACTAATAACTATTGACTGGTATTAAAAGCTTTTTTGTATAAACGCCACAAAAAAAAAAAGATGCTTTTTTCACAGATTCCTGCCTACCCTACCTTTAAGTCTATAAAGTTTGCAGTCTGATGAGGCTCCAGCTCTGATCAGTATCTGTTGTCCATTGACGTTGACTTTTTCGTGCTGACGGTCCTCCTCAAACTAGAGCATTTCTCAGTATTTTGGGCTTTGAACCCTCAGCACAGTAAGACCCTCATCTTACTCAGCCCTTTGTTGGTAATACTGCCCTCTTCATCACACTGCTACGCTTGTCAATGTCACATGTTGATTATGAACCAATCAGAATCAAGAAGTGGGCAGACTTTAGACATCAACTTTGTCAACGACAGTGGTGGATGTCCTTTTACACGAAGAAAAACAAAACTGCGGCTGATGTCCATGGGGTTTCTTTCTGCTGTTTTTATGATTTCTCTTTCACTGGAAATTTTGACTGCAAACCATGACTTCACCTAACAAACCAACACTATTCCTGATCTGAACACTCACCTGCTCAAGTCGGGTTCAGGTATGAGGATGAAGTAATAAGGTTGATGATGTAAGAGGAAGACTGAGAGGAGAAAGGGGTGGAGGATGATAGTTTGAATAATGTTTTTAAGGAGTTGAAGGATTCTCATCAGAAAAGTCTTTAATTTATTTATTTTATTGTTTTAAAATTTTAATCATTGGCTGTAACCTGCTCATCAGCTCAGCTTTAGGAAAAAAAAAACAGGTGATGTTTTATTAGATGAGTGAATGAAATAATCTCTTTAAACTGGATTGTACAGGTTAGTTTCTGTTGGTTCTGCCTGATGTGCCACAGTCTTTCTTGTTTTTCTGCAGGACGATGGATGAGTACTAACGTGTAAAACCTTCTCTTTGTATGATGTTTGATCTTTAAGGCTCTTTAAAGCCTGTTTTTTTAAACTCTTCAGGAATGTCTTTGGAATATCTGGTCTGACTGCACATGTTATCTAAGACTTACCTTACAGGACAGCTTCGTTGTATTTTGACCGTTGTTTCTATGAAGATGAATTAAAAATGTGGGTTTACTTTAAGTCTTGCATGGTGTGGTTTTTGTCCAACATGTATATAAAAACCTATACTACCAATAAAAACACTGACTTTACTAAAGAGGGTATGTAAGATACCCTCAATGATTTTGGGCCTGATTCACTTCTGATCTTAAATTTAAGTCTTTTATATATATTTATATATATATATATATATATATATATATATATATATATATATAATTTTTTTTTTTTTTTACATTCTTCCCCCTCTGTTTTCCACACCTCAGTTTGACCTTAGTACCACATGATCTGTCCAAATGAATGTGGATCTTCCTGAAAACCCAGTCTTTCCTTCGTGTTTTAGCCTCTTGCTTCCATGTCAGAGAAGTTTCAGGGCATCAAAAACAGTTTTCAGTTTTTTTTTTTTGAGTGAGTGGGGGCTGCAAAAATGAAGCCTAACTAAAGACTCAATGTTGTGTATAAATGTGGGCTTGGACAGGGTCATCTGTCCTTAGTCTACATTCATTTCACCTGTATATTTGCCACTTTTCTGCAGGCTTATGGATATGAGCCGATCATAGCAGCAAGCCACACCAACAGTTCAAAGCATAGACTGCAAAACACAAGCTTTGCCTTTTCCATAAGCCTGACTGAATCTCCTGTGTCTGACCTACAGACACCACCATGAGCACCACAAACTGGAGCATCTGTTGCGCTGTAGTACTCCACCTGAGCCCTTGGGCCTATTCTACGAAGCAAGTTCAACCTAGCCTCAACTTAGCGCGGTAACCAGCGGTCTCGCTAAACGGTCTAATGACGCTGGTTATCAACCTCGTAAGTGGATCCAGCTTTGCTATGAGCGCGTGCACGCATGTAAGGCGGAGCCCGCCGCATCTGACCAATCGCGAACATGGACCAGTCTGGAGCGTCAGAGCAGGCCGGAGAGCGAAGGACCACGTACTTTACAAACGAGGAACAGGAGACGATCATGAGAAAGTATGAAGAATTCAAATCTATCATAAACCTCAAAAGCAACACTGTTGCAGCTCGCTACCTCGCTAAGCAGTAATCCTGCTTCGTAGAATAGGCCCCTGGTCAACATTACACTGTAAATGCCCACCATATTCCCTCCTTGTTTGTTCAAAAGTAACCATGGCAATCCAAAGCTGATGTATCTTAACTACAGCTGATGTATGGTGTTCAGCAGTTATCCTGAAAAATGAAAGAGGGAGACAGACTGTAAGGCTACTGAGGAGGAGAGCGGGGCAGGATGGTCTGCTGCTGAGTAGACCAATCACGGAGGTTGCATTGTTTTAGCGTAGACTTCTGTGAGGGGCGACGCAGACCTATCCTGTATTCTTTTTTCATCACTAAAGCAGAAACTATTTTTCACATCTCCTTTACTGCCGTCATGTTTGTTGTTGTCATAAACTCTTGAGCATTGTGGCACAACACTTGTTGTGAATTTGGTGGTGTATAAACATTGATTGACGCTCAACCGATCAGTTGCGGTGAAGAAAGAGCTGAGCTGTAAGGCGAGACTCTCGATTTACCAGTCGATCTACTTGCTGACTCTACCTATGGCCATGAACTTTGGTTAATGACTGAAAGAACAAGATCGCAGATACAAGCGGCCAAAATGGGTTTCCTCAGCCTCTGAGATAGGGTAAGGAGCTTGGACACTCAGGAGGCGCTCAAAGTAGAACCGCTGCTCCTCCACGTCGAGAGGAGTCAGCTGAGGTGGCTCGGGCATCTGGTTAGGATCCCTTCTGGACACCTTCCGTTAGAGGTGTCTCCCGTTAGGAGACCTCGTGGCCGGCCCAGGACCAGGTGGAGGGATTATATCTCTCGCCTGGCCTGGGAGCGCCTGGGAATCCCCCCTGAGGAGCTGGTGGAAGTAGCTGGGGTGAGGGCCGTCTGGGCTTCCCTCCTGAAGCTGCTGCCCCCGCGATTCGGATGAAGCGGAAGAAAACGACAATGACGATAAACATTGATTGATTGATTGATTAATTGAACATGCATGTCAATTGTTTTTTTGTGTTGTAGCTTCTTGTATTTCTCTGATTTTAAATAATTTATTCCAATGTCTCTTTCTTTCACGTTGTAAAACATCAACCCTCCAAACACCTGAAGGTCTTTTCTTTAGTGAGTTTGCCATTTTCATCTCTTTATACTAATAACAATGTGCTCAGTGTTCTTCTTTGGTGATTGATAGGACCGACCAATTACACATGATTGCCACCTACTGGTGTGGTATGCTTATTTGGGTGTTTCAACCATGGGTACAGGAGAATATTTATAGACACTTCCTGAGTGGATGATAGTCTTTTTTAATTGGAAACAAATTCAGAGTCAAACAGCTGTCCAGTATCTAGATATCCCCCCTCACTTGTTAAACGTCTCCTTTTATTTCTTAATGCGGCTTTTTCACTCTTGTTAGGTTCGCAGGGAAAAAAAAGAGTGTTTCCTCTGCAGCGTGTGGAGCTTTTTTTGGCCCCTGGTGAGCAGTGTAGTTTTCTTTTAGAGACGTCTAAAGTGTGAAAGTTGGCTCAGATCTCTTTGACTAAAATAGTCCTAATGGCTGACAGCTGCTGGCCTGCCTGGAGACTGCAGCACAGCTCCCAGGCTCTCAGCACACGGGTTCAGTTTCATTATTCTGATGTAGAAGTGGGAAAGAGGACGACACAGTCAGACTCTGAGATCTTCACTAAAAATATGACCTCAGTCAGACACATTTTAAAATCAGATCAGTCCGACTGAAGGTGATGTTACTGTCTTTAGACTCTGGTAAGATGAACCTGGGGTGAACACTAGAGGTGTGTTAAAGAGAAGACATCAAATCAAATACAGACCCTCAGATTCAACACAAAGCCAATCTATCAGCCAGGCAGCAGTTAAGAACCATTCATCTTGATGGCCTACAGTTGTGCAGACTCACCCTAAAAATCACACATTTATGCAGAGTTGCTATTTCTGGACTCGACATGCCAGTACTGACAACAACTGTCTTTTAGCCAATTTGGGTAACAGATTAATTCAACATCTATACTTTTTGACTGTTTTTTTGTTCTGTTTTCATTCAGTTAAGTTACTTACACTCTACCAGCAGTAACTGAAACTTCAAAATAAAAGCATAGTTTGATTGCGACCTAAATTCAAGGCAGATTAAAAAAACATTGAAATAAAAGCATGACAAACGACCGTTTTATGAAGTAATGTCTTCATCGAGGAAGGAGAAATCATACATGTTAATATCATCTTCATGAGGTCATGTTTTGCTCCACCCTTTTCTTTACTTTCCTCAATTTGACTGATAGTGTTGTCTTATAACAGTGGTTCTTAAGTCCAGTCCTGGAGGCCCACTGTCCTGCATGTTTTGGATGTTTTCCTGCTCCAACACACCTGATTCAAATGATCAGATCGTTATCAAGCTCTGTAATGGCTTATCTTGGGACTTGAGAACCACTGTCTTACACTTAAGTTTAGCATAAAATCGTCCTTTTATAATAAAAGTGACATTTTATAGCCACCATATCTATAAATGCCGATTCAAACAGAACTATGCGAAAAAGAAACCAGGTAAAAACATGATCCAGGAAAATAGAGACTTGTCTAGACCTGAGTCCATTTAAGGTGGACTGACAGGAAGAGGAAAACTGTGCTGTGGGCTGATGATTCAAACTTTGACATAGTTTTTGGAAATCATGGATGCTGCGTCTTTAATGCCAAACTACACTCTGCAGGGATTACAACAGCATGGCTCAGTAGTAGGAGTCCTGCTGCTAAACTGGCCTGCCTGCAGTCCTGACTTGTCCCCCATTTAAAGCATCATGACACCTGAGCCTGAACTGTTGAGCAGCTAAAATCAAGCAAAAGTGGGATAGCATTTCACTTTCCAAACTCCAGAAACTGTGCTGCTGTGTTCACAGAGAGCTGGTGACACAAGGTGAGAAACATGAATCTGAAACATTTTCAAAATTTTTTTAGTTTGAACCCAGAAATTCTTAACCAATATTCAGACCTAAGGAGCAATCAAACAAACACCCCAAGATTAGGTCTATACCTTAAAACCTCCTTACAGCTGGATTCTGGTGGTCCTGTAAGGGGAGTCGGGTTGAACTTGGTCCAGTCTCTGCAGTGGGAGCTGTCAGTATGTCAGTGTGAGAATCACCAAGGTCAAATGGCATCAGTTTCAGGGTGACAGCGGTATGTGAAGGGGAGACTGTGTCAAACCTCAAACATCTCCTGCTGCTCACGGCCGCTCACATTTCACAGGTCATCACTTCTGCGGGCTAAGATACACCGAACACCCACGCCTGGATTCATCTGACCACAGACCAGGACATCCTGTGGCTCTCTGAGGAACAAAGAGTCTGAACACAGACTCCAATACACTGTCTAAAAGATCTGAACACGGTCATCTTAAGGTCCAGTCCAAACACAGAGCCTGAACATGCATGTGAGGGAACTCTGGGAGTAACAGGTGTGCTGACGCTCACTGTCAGATCAAGTGCAGCAGATCCTACAGAGTCTACAGACAACATTCGAAAGACTCAAAGAAGAGGCTCTGTTTCATCAGCACTGAAGCACATTTTCAAGAGGAGAGAAGGCTTGAATGTGACAGGAAGACACTGGTATTTAACAGGCAGTGTTTGTTTGGTTGTTTTGACCTTAAAAGTATATCTTCTGATAAAATATGAACTTAATGAAGACTTAAAGGACCAAGAGTAAGAGCAAATTGAGAGGAGGAGGAATTATGAAGACTTCAGGTCCTTACACACCGGGGCCGACACAAATATACACGCGAAATTACGAAATATTCGGAGGTGAAGTTTGACATGCTTGACTATACACATCAAGCCCGATGCGATTTTGCGACTTCCCGGGGGGAAAAAAGACACATCCCGGGTGGAAACGATAAGACTGACACAACAGCAGACCGACTGTTTTTCAGCTCTGATTAGACACTAGTGTTGAGATGACTGTCAGTCATGATAGCATGTACTGAGTCGGGGCCAGTACCAGATAAGCACATTAAACTATAATCCATAAATGTAAGGAAACAACCGAGACCTAATGGTGCTGTAACAGCAACGCGGTTGAGTTTGAGACAGTGAAAATACATATGGTATGTTGTATCTGAACAGGTTAGCTTACAAGCTAAAGTTACTTAGCACAGATGAAAGTTAAAACAAAGACGTTTAGCAAACTGAGCACACAAACTATCGTCATATGAGAAATCCGACGCTATGACTCTCCACATGCTGTTCTTTAGGTTGTTATCTTTGTAATATTTGTGTTTTTTATCAAAAAGCACTCTGTTCTCCGACACGTAAACAAGTAGCAGGTCGGCCATGTTGGATATGAATCAGACGTCGCAACAACACGCAATCTGATTGGTCAGAAGTGGACACACAGAATGCAAAACTTTAGAAAAATCGACCATGATCTGAAAAAATAAATGCCGCAATATCATAGGATGGGAAAACGTCGCTTATGTGAACACTTGTATTGACAGGATACGGGTTTGAAAAAATATAATATAATAAATATTGACGTTGGAAATAATCGCACAAAAAAAACAGTCTCGGTGTGAAAGGACCTTAAAAGTTAAAGAAATGTCAGTGACATCTGGAGAAAATAACTAACAGAAATCATCATTGGTTAACTTATTAGTAAACTATAAATATTATACAGTATGATATTTACTTAGCTAGTGTCTTGTGCTAGTTCAGTCTGGTTTGTGTTGAATGAGATGCTGACTATGACTGTGAGGCTGTTTTGACATTAAACTGATGGAGTACACAGTCAGAAAGAGCAGGAGAACAGGATTTTACCAGTGTAAAAGAGCAGGTTGACCTGCAAACTACAGACTCTCAAATCAGAACAGAACTGTGACTCTTCTTCATAATATTCTTTTTGAAGTCATAATCAAATTTATCAGGTGTTTCATGAAATTCTTTTTTTTTCCATTTTTATTATTTTTTTTTTGCTGACCAGAGATTATTTTTTGTCAGAAATACAATTAAAGATTAAGAAAAAAAAAAAAAAAGTGATAAATATATAAACAAATAAACCTGGATTTTCTCATTAAATGGAATTTTAACTCTGTATCAAAATTGAATTTTGCCACCTTTTATTGGAAAACCTTTTTTTTTTGTGGGGGTGAAACAACTTTACAGACCTGCCACTAGGGAGCAGCAGTGAGCTGTGGTTTACACTTACAGGTTAACACATGTAGCCCTTATTTTGTGTAGCAGCACCCCTGCACTGATTTAAATAAAACACAGATAATAAAATATCTTGATCAGATAAAAAGTGAGTTCTTATTGGATAAAAACTAAGCTCTTTGCCTTCATCCTCATCTTTCTCTTTTACTCCTCCTCTTTCTTCTCACTGTGTCAGTCAGACTTTCTCCATCACAGCTCAGCTTACTGTGGGAGGAGGTGCGAATGGGTTTTTTTCATCCTGAATGTTGTCTTTATTTATATAACCCTGACATGAAAAAGATATGATTTTAACTGAAATGATAAATCTAAAGGAGTGTGCAGTCACTTTGTCAAAACAAGAGACTAAAACATGGAATAATAATCACACACTCTATTTTACATTGATAGAGAAAGAGATAAAATACAAGTATGTAGATATGAACCGGTGCACTCTTGCATCGACCCAATGGATCTGAAACTTTGAATTTAACAAAACCACAGAAAAATTCATCAAAAATGACAGATTCAGGATAGCAGGTACTAACAGATACTATGGGGCCCCCTGGTGGCTGAAACAGAGCTAATCGCCACCTTTTATGTGACGAGGGCTAAATGTGAAAATTTTACAAAGCTGGTTTATGTTTTTCCAGTTAGTTCAGTCTGTTTGTTTGAAAAGAGGACTGTCAATACTTCACAGAGGGACATGTAGCAGCCACAACAAAGTTACACCCACATGCTTTATTTCTTTACCATTTGTTTTCAATGGTTCCAAAAAAAAAAAAAATGTTATTGTAAGATGTTCTGTGTTTGTGGTATCCTCGAGGGTTCAAGCACATTTCACATGATGATACATATATTCATTTGAAAACAGATTTCCAAACTTTGAGCTGTATAAAGGTAGTCAGTTCATGGTCGATTTGTAGTGTTATATGGTTTACCGGATCACTTGAAGAACAAATGAACAAGTTTACACCGAATTCATACAGTGATTTATTTCTGTCTTTAACGATAAGTTATAGGACGAAAGAATGGAGCCCTCTGACATTACAAACAGTGACATATCTGCTGTGTGTTTCTGACACTTGAAATACTTCTAAAAATTAGAAATAAAGTCTTTGTGATTCTGATCATGATCAGATTAATGACATCTGATCAGTTAGGCCCCGAACTCTCATCTTAGGATGACAGTGAAGGGCATACTGTTGTTTTTACAATGTTACAAGTATCCGTCTGCACTAACACACTGCTTATGCCCTGAATGATGTGATTTAGTTAAGTCCACATCCATGATGCACCTCAGACACTCATATTTCTGAGTGAAATCAGCTTCCAGTTTACATGAATCCTTAAACTCACCAAAGTTAGAAAATCTGCATTCACCTCTCAGCCCTGACATCCTGTAATAACACACGACTGCTGACAGCTCACAATATGAAGACATGATTTATTCACATACGTACAGTCAAATTAAAGAAGAAACAAATACATCATTACAGAAAGAATCACTTTTTAAATTCAATATTTAAATAAGCAGCTGATTTATCGGTCTGTTCAATGACTGCAGCTCACAGCAGACACAGATGTCAGTCTACGTTTGTCACAGTGTCTGCATTCATGTGAGTCTGGAGGGTTTTAAAACTCTTCCTTCAGCTCCTTAAAAGTATTTGAGAGTAACAGAGTCACTACGATGAGGACTGTTTAAGAATAAAGTTAACATTAACTGTAATTACATGGAAATAAAGACCTGGACGTACACCCAAATGATCTCAACTTTCAGTTTTTAAATTAATGACTTTATTCTTTGAGAGAAAAGGTTTGTTTTCGAGAAAATTTACAACCTGGATCTTTAAATTTACCACAATAAAATATTCATACGGTTTTATATTATAATTTTACCAGAAAAAAAAAAAGTCATCAGTCACAAACAAAAAAATGACTGTCATGAATTTTGGAGAAATACATATTTTTCTCTCATAAATTTAATGATTTGTAATTTTACTTTGGTACATTAATGTTGTTCAGTTTATTTTTTCAAATTTGTAGGGAAAAAAGACAATGATGGGGACACCAACTCTCAAAAATCAGTCAAAAGTTCATAACCTCCTGCAAATTAGATTATATTTTTTTTAGAGGTAAATTTGCATTATCAGTCAAAGTTAAGAGAATGTAAATTTTCATGTTTCATTCCTTGTGATTTCTTTTTTCCTCTTACAACTGTAGTCTCTTATGATCTTTTTTTCCCTTGTAACTTACACTGCATTCTAAAATTATTATGCAAATTCTATTTAAGTGTCATAAACGTTCGTTGTTTTTCAATTAAACTCATGGATGGTATTGTGTCTCAGGTTTTTTTGGATCACTGAAATCAATCTCAGACACATGTGATAATTAGTTTGCCAGGTGAGCTCAATTAAGGTAAAAACTACTAAAGAAGGACATTCTACATTATTGAGCAGACCAACTTTTTCAAGCAATATGGGAAAGAGAAAGGATCTCTGCTGCTGAAAAGCGTGAAATAGTTGAATGCCTTGGACAAGGTATGAAAACTTTAGATATTTCACGAAAGAATTTTGAAGCTGCTATCAAACAAGGGGTCCTATGTCGAAATGTAACTTGACCTGTTAAGATGTTTTTGATTGAAATAGCTTTTGATATCAGTAAATATGAACTCCTAATGCTGCAAATTCAACAAATGACCATTTTCAGTTCTTTACAACCTATAAAATGTTTTGGACTCTGTTGTGCATAATAATTTGGAACAGTATATTTTAAGTTTTTTATTTTTGAATAAAATACTGTTATCATTGGGAGGTTAGTTTAATAACATTTAAATTATACTCTAACAGATTATGACTTGAAAATTATGCTGACTGTCATTTGCATTGACTATTTAGAAAATCTGAGAAAAATATCATTTGCATAATAATTTGGAACGCGATGTATGAGTTTATTCTGGTGAATTTAAGACCTTTAAACGTGAATTTTTAAAAACTTTAACTCATGGCCAAATGTATAACCCTTTTCTGTGAAACTTGAAAATACTTTCTGGTTAATCAATAAAAAAAAAGCTACAAGACCATGAGAATCAAGCTGTAAATTTATGAGTTACAAGTCAGGCATATATATATGACATTATTTGCTGTATTCTTCTAAATTCGTGTTTTTTTTTCTCTTGACTATGCTCAAAAATTTATAACATTTCACATAAGAATGTAATAATCTTATAAATTTAAGGAGAAGATGTCAAATTTTTAAGGATGGAGTGAAAATTTTTGGTTGCTGTAGGTCACCATATATGTCAGATTTGGACTTTTCTCATGTGACTATTTGTATAGGCTAGACTTTGAAATTCTTGAATTTGTGCATGTAAATTTTTGAGAAAAAACTTTCAGAAACATGAGAATAAAGTGGTTTATTTTCAAAGTTTGGTCTGTTCTTGTAAGTTTACAGCATTCATTCCATAAATGTGGTCTTCTTTTCTCCTAAATGTTTGACTTTATTCTGGTTAATGTAAGTATTTAGTCTTGGACAAAGAAAAAAAGAAAAATACGACAAAGATGTTTTTCTCACAAATATATGACTTTATCCTTATAAGCTTCTCACTTAACTCTTAAAATCTTTATAATCCTGTGATGCAGCCCTGATTGTCTTAAAACACAGCATGTCACAGTCTACGCAGACTAAGTGATTGAGGAAATGATAGACCCTTAGTTTCCACTCTGAGGTCAGACCTGTGTCTGCAGTGATAAAATCCTCTCTCTCTGCAGGGACCCTTTCTGTCAGACTCTTGAAATAACGAACTGAGCCTGTCAGGCACAAAAACTACAACTTTTACTGACACACTTTGATCCATCAGCTGATTATGAAGCAGACATTACAGACACTTCACCTGCAGCAGTACGGACCAACATTCAGGGACTCTTCATAAACTTTATTTACCTGATGGTCATGTTGTAATGTGCGACACAAAATAAGGACTGCAGAGTTCCCCTGTGAGTCCTTTCTAGATGGTGCAGAGTACTGTGGACATGACCCCTGCTCTTCACACAGGTCCTGATCACTGATCCTGCAGCTTGTTTCTCAGCTCTCCTCTGGTCTGTTCATGTCCTCGGGGTTGAAGCTGAAGGGCTTGTCGTAGCCCATCAGGTGGTTGTAGTCCTGGGGGATGGGGAACAGGTCAGGGTTCACCAGCAGGGACGTGTTTCCTGCATAGAAGGTGGTGAACATTTTACTGACATCAGGAATCCGGACCTGCTTCTGGTGGAAGACACTCCTCTTCTCTGTGAGGAAGACATTGTAGGTGACGGCGGTGTAAGTGTCTGTGTCCGGGTGGTGGTACAGGCGGACCACATAGCCCCGGGTGATGAAGTGGAGGAGGACTGGAGTGAGAAAGGTGAAGAAACCCATGACTCCGCAGAAGGCAACCTGCAGGGCGAAGCTCTGGATGCCCAACCCGGTTTTCAGCAGGAGGTAAGGCATGATGAGGAGGCTGGTCCCGCTGCTGCTGTACGAGAAGAACTTCACCCCTGAGAGGACGGACGTGGGGCAGAGGAGGAGCCGGAGGAGAACCCCCAAACAGTCAGCAAGGACCAGACAGAGAACAACAGTAACCAAAAAACAACAAAAAAAAACTGTTAGCAATGAGTAACAGAAAACAGTCAGCAAGAATAAAAAAAAGGACCAGACAGAGAACAATAACAATGAAAGAAACAGTCAGCAATAAGTAATAAAAAACAGTCAAGGAGTGATTAAAAAAAAGTCAGCAAGGAGAGAAAAATGCAGCAAGGAGTATTAAATAAAACTGAGTAAAAATAATTTAAAAAACAGTCAGCAAGGAGTAATAAAAAAAGAACAGTCAGCAAGAAGTGCTTAAAAGAGTCAACAAGGAGTATAAAATAAAACAGAATAAAAATAAATTTAAAAAACAGTCAGCAAGGAGTGATACAAATCAGTCAGCAAGAAATAATAAAAAAAAAACAGTCAGCAAGAAGTGCTTAAAAAGAGTCAATAAGAGGTGATAAAAAGTCGGCAAGGAGTATTAAATAAAACAGAATTATGATCAAAAACAGTCAGCAAGAAATTATAAAATAGAACAGTCTGCAAGGAGTGATAAAAAAGGCAGCAAGGAGTATTAAATAAAACGGAATTATAATAATAAAAAAGTCAGCAAGGAGAGAAAAATGCAGTAAGGAGTATTAAATAAAACAGAGTAAAAATAAATTAAAAAACAGTCAGCAAGGAGTGATTAAAAAGTCAGCAAGGAGTATTTAATAAAACAGAATTCAATAATAATAAAAAACAGTCAGCAAGGAGTATTTGTTAAAATTGAAGAATGAATTAAAGATATAAGATATAAAAACAGTCTGAGAAGAACCAAAGAAAAAGTCATCAAGTCAATAGAAAATATTTCCATGTCAGTCCTGGGGCCTGTTCTACGAAGCAAGTTCGACCTAGCGAGGTAGCCTTGGAACTAGTGCTGCAACTAACGATTATTTTTTTGTCGACTAGTCGTCTGACTAGTCGTCCGATTAAACACGATTAATCACTATCTTCTTTATTTATAAACACCTATTTCCGGGGTGTCGGCGTTTCAGGTGCTCATACATTGCTGTGGTGCTGCCATGGTAGGAAAGCTGAGCTTTGATCAACGTGTTTTTTTTTGGTTTGTTCTCCGTAAAATGTTCCCAAACTTTTGAAGTTTTGGGTCGCAGTTTTGGAGCGTCTTTTTCAGTTTGTTCTGCCATAATGTGTGCACTCTTCTTCTGTGTTTGCTCGCGGGATGTAAACAGCGAGCGCTACTGCCCCCAGCACATCCTGTAGTGCACTGCAGTTATAGATGAGCATGAGGCGCCGGCATGTGATTCTTAACAACAATAACACGGCGCTTCGTTTTCGTGTCGATGAATTTGTCGTGTCGACGTAATCGATTACGTCGACTAATCATTGCAGCCCTACTTGGAACTACCTCATTCAACTTAGCATGGTAGCCAGTGGTCTCGCTAAACTGTCTTACGATGCTGGTTATCAACCTCGTAAGTGGATCCAGTTTTGCTATGAGCGCATGCACGCATGTAAGGCGGAGTCGCCGCATCTGACCAATCGCGAACATGGACCAGTCTGGAGCGTCAGAGCAGGCTGGAAAGGACCGCGTACTTTACAAACCAGGAGCAGGAGACGATCCTGAGAAAGTATGAAGAATTCAATTTATTATAAACCTCAAAAGCAACACCGTCGCTGCTGCAAAAGAACGGAAGGAATGCTGGCAGAAAATTGCTGACAGTCTTAATGCGTAAATATAGTGCACAAAAAATCTTTGATGCGCTTTTAACCTGCACCAGACATGTCTAATTCATTTCCAAGATGTATTCATTCATTTGTTCATTTCTATTGTATTTACTTTTTTTGTGTGATATGTCGGCCATTGAAGCCTTTCATAAAGGTGGTCATCTGAAAAAGTAAGTGGGTCCGTGCGGTCCTTGAAAACTCTCGCACACTGGAGTGCTCCTCGGACAATGCGAGCACCGAGGTCTATAGGATCCTCCAAGAACGGACAAGCCATTTTTTGACAGAACTCATTGGTCAGTGGGTGGGGTTTTCATACTCAGTGAGTTCAATCTGGAACCTAACCTGCCCCGGAGCAGGTTAGCTGTTCAGTGTATGTTGCCATGGAGACTCGCCTCGCTAAGAAGTGAACCCGCATCATAGAACAGGAAACCCCGAACTTACCCTTGAAGTTACCTCGCTAAGCAGTAGTCCTGCCTCATCAAATAGGCCCCTGGCCTGGTGGAATAAATGCTTTCAAACTCTATATTCCTGTTCTAACAACATGATGGTTCAACTGTAAGCACCATCAGCACAGAACAGGTCCACAGGTGTGAGACTACCTGATTTAATGAAGGGAGGGACCACCAACCAAACAAACAAAGGCTTACATGTGACAAACTTTGGACTGGTACTACAAACAAAGGCTCTGATGGATTCTCACAGGCACGAAGTTATTTCTTTAAACTGGAGGTATTCCTTCTTCTACATTGATACACAAAGATATTCTTATTTATAATTATTTGGAGTATCTCATTAAAGCCAATGACCAAGCAGTAAGGAAACAGAAATGAGGACTATAAATATAAGGTATGATTATAGCATCAGTATTATGATATCTTACAATATAATATCACTTTACTTTAATGTTGATGCCAACACAACCAGCTGCATGTGTCAGTATGTTGAGCCATGAAAAGGGGGTTGACCAGGGGGCTTTAACTGCTTCCTAAAATCCCCTGCTCATTCAACACCTGCATAAACAGCTGGGTAAATGTTGCTGTCATGAGGCATCAGCCCACTCAGCTCAGGCTGGGGAAACAGGACCGTGCCTGAGGCTGAAGTCCTCCATCCGCACTATTCACTCATGTCTTAGCCTTGCCCACCAGAGATGAACGAAGAGTTGTGGGTTAATGAAGAAAGAAGAGCGAAATCTGTTTTCACTGACCTCTCACAGCTCTGCCCAGGTTGCCAGTGTAAATCAGCTCTCCATCTGAGGATGACGTTGCTGTGGAAACACACCTAATAATAGAGGGGCAGAGGGACTGCACCTGCACACAGGTAGAAGACAGAGACATAGTGTGTTTGAAGTCTTCATATCCTGCTTTTATAGAGTATCATTTGTGTTACAGTGAACAGGAGGCATGTATTCATGTATGATGGGCTGCACAGTTCGTTTCCTGAACATTAACATTCACAAGATACACATCAAAAAAGTCTGTTGTTTAGTTAGGAAAACAGCAAAAAAATGTATTTAAAAAGAAATCTTAGAATTTTGAGCCATTTCTTGTTACTTCATAAAAATAATATTCATCAAATATTTAAAAATCAGTCATATTGAAACTTTGACATAATCATCTAAATTTAGAGAAACCTCTTAATAAAATGTCTAATCCTTAAGGTTTTACCTTGATTATTTAGAAAAACAATATTTTCAATCCATAAAATTGAATAATCTCTTTGATTCATAAGTGAATGCAATTTGCTCCCACTGGTATTCATGTATTATGTCAGTCTGGAAAATAATGTGAGATGCTTGGGACCTGCGAATAAAAAAAAAACATTATCTTTGCATAATTTACAAGGTTTTAAAGATCCTTTTGAGGATGTTTAAATGTCACACTGAAGGGAAAAGTAAAGATACAGAGAAAGAGATCAAAAACAATCTGATAGAAATTACCGCTTATTTTCTACAATATCAGAATTCCTTTGACAGAAACATGTTCATGTTCTATTCATGTACAGTGGATATAGAAAGTCTACACACCCCTGTTCAACTGCCAAGTTTTTGTCATGTGAAAAAAATTAAATCAAGATAAATAATTTCACAACTTCTTCCACCTTTAATGTGACCTATAACCTGTACAACACAATTGAAAAACAAACAGAAACCTTTCAGGGAGGTGAAGTAAAAATAAACAACTGAGATCATGTGGTTGCATAAGTGTGCACACCCTTTAATAACTGGGGATGTGGCTGTGTTCAGATTTAACCAATAACATTCAAACTCAGGTTAAATTGGAGTCAGCATACACCTGTCACCAAATTAAAGTGCCTCTGATTAACCACAAATTAAGTTCAGCTGGTCTAGTAGATTTTCCTGACATTTTTGTAGCCACATCTTCCAGCACAAGCCATGGTCCACAGAGAGCTTCCAAAGCATCAGAGGGATCTCATTATTCAAAGATATCAGTCAGGTGAGGCTACAAAAGAATTTCCAAGGAATTAAATATACCATGGAACACAGTAAAGACCGTCATCATCAAGTGAAGAAAATATAGCACAACAGTTCATGACCAAGAACAGGACATCTGTCCAAAATTGATGATAAGACGAGAAGAAAACTGGTCAGGGAGGCTACCAAGAGGCCGACAGCAACACTGAAGGAAGTGCAGGAATTTCTGGTGAGTACTGGCTGTGTAGTACATGAGACAACAATCTCCCGCTGTCTTCATATGTCTGGGCTTTGGGGTAGGGTGGCAAGACGGAAGCCTTATCTTACAAAGAAAAACATCAAAGCCCGGCTTAATTTTGCAAAAAGACATTTGAAATCTCCCAAACGCATGTGGGAAAATGTGTTATGGTCTGATGAAACCAAAGTTGAACTTTTTGGCCATCATTGCAAAAGGCCAAAATCAACACTGCTCATCACCAAAAGAACACCATACCTACAGTGAAGCATGGTGGTGGCAGCATCATGCTTTGGGGCTGTTTTTCTTCAGCTGGAACTGGTGCCTTAGTCAGAGTGGAGGGAATTATGAACAGTTCCAAATACCAGTCAGTGTTGGCACAAAACCTTCGGCCTTCTGCTAGAAAGCTGAAGATGAAGAGGAACTTCACCGGAATAAGACTGAGACTTTGGAATGGCCCTGCCAGAGTCCAGACCTGAATCCCATCAAACATTTGTGGGGTGATCTGAAGAGGGCTGTGCACAGGAGATGCCCTCGCAATCTGTCAGATTTGGAGCGGTTTTGCAAAGAAGAGTGGGCAAATATTGCCCCATCAAGATGTGCCACGCTGATAGACTCCTACCCAAAAGACTGAGTGCTGTAATAAAAGCCAAAGGTGCTGCAACAAAGTATTAGTTTAAGGGTGTGAATAGTTATGCAACCAGGTTATTTTAACTTTTCTATTTTTTATTTTTCCCCTTAAAGGTTTCAGTTTGTTTTTCAATTGCATTGTTCTGGTTATAGATCACACTAAAGGTGGAAAAAGTTGTGAAAATATTTATCTTGCTGTCATTTTCTTACATCACTACAACCTGGCAGTTGAACAGGGGTGTTCCTCTATCTTTCGCTGTTTCTCTATCAACAACCTGAACTCAGACGAATGTAACGGAGGCCGAGTTTAGCTTCATGGATTCAAGCTTCTGAAGCTTTAATCTGATTTTTTTTTTCTAAAATGATAGATTAGACAAAAAAAAAAAAAAAAACACTCAGACACATCTCAGAGGACAAGCTGCTTTAAAATCCTTCAACGGCATCAGTCAGTGAAGGTCGGTAATCTACAGTGCTCTGTCAGACCTGCAGTCATCAACAATCAATCCCAGAGTGACTTGATGGGACAATGCAAAAATGCTAAGCTAACTTGAACAGGAGTGTTTTCTTTAAGGGTGTGAACGTGAACAACAATCACTTCAGCTGATATCACCTGTCCACCAGTGAGGATTTAAACACACCCACTCACCTGGTTGGTACAAGTGAGGAACGACCTCCTGCCCGCGTGCAGCAGCTCCTCTCCCCTCACACAGCGCGCGCTGAGCGACAAAGCCCTGGGCCCCGCGCGCCTGACAGTGAGGGTGTTGTTTCCAGAGATGGAGAGGACACCTGGTCTGAACCTGCTGAGGGTTTTTACCGCAAACATGATCAACTAGCTTTCAGAGAGTTTGAGACAGGGGGGTCACTGAGAGCTGCAGAGCTGCAGGAACTTCCGCCTTTACTCTTCTTCTCCCATTGCTTTAACGGCGGCTTTGAATGTACGTGAGGCGCATTACCGCCTCCTGCTGTATGTCTGCACCACTGTGTAACAACAACACATTCTTTCCTGTTTAATCAGGATGTGGTATATATATATATATATATATATACATATATATATATATATATATATATATTTCACAATAAGTGTAAAAATATTTTGAATAAAAATGATTTAAGAGACAATAATATTGTTCCATGATTGGGGTGGCATCCGTCGTAATGTGCCTGTCCGCCAGGAGGTAAATACCTGCTAAACTATATTTGCCCTGATAGCTCGAGTTTCATGAAATCCAAGAGACAAGCAGCAGAATTTTTAATTTTTGAATTTACTATAATAATTATTGTTTAATTATTTTATTTATTTATTTTTAATTATTTTTATTAATATTCTCTTTCTTCCTTCTGTTTGAAATTATTGATCCATATATTTATTCAATTACTGTTGTTATTGTCATGTTTACTATCAGATGTATGTATGTATGTATGTATGTATATATGTACGCATTTAAATGTACATTTATTATTTTTCAAAATAATAACTCACTCAGAATCTCATGGCTGCAACACGTGCCAAAGTAGTTGGGACAGGGTCATGTTTACCACTGTGCTACATCAACTTTCCTTTTAACAACACTCAAAAAACGTTTGGGAACTCAGGAGACTAATTGTTGAAGCTTTGAAGGTGGAATTCTTTCCCATTCTTGCTTGATGTACAGCTTCAGTTGTTCAACAGTCCGGGGTCCAGTGGCGTGCACAGGTAGACACTAGGTGGTGCTAAAGCACCTGCCCTTTGCCCTTCGGACCCAGCAAGTGCCCTTTTGAAAGTTTTTATTTTTTATTTTTTCTCTCTGTGGCCTATGCTGACCTGATCACCTTTAAGTGCTCATCAATTAAAAGCATGTGATAATAATGCCCCAATTAATATTCCCTCAGCATTTTTCTGTTTATAATGCTTAACTGTAAAAAGAAGCACAGTATGGAGGAAATATTCAAATCTTCAGAAAAACATAAAGTCCTTAAACTTGGAGTTCAGCTGTGTGCTGGAGTGTCCAGGTTGCTCTGCAGTCCTCTAAATACTCAGCAGTGTGATTTTTGTGCCAGTTACATCACCAGTTTTAGTTCTGAATCTTGACAAGTCTTCATCAGTTACATGTCATATTTGTCTGAAGACGTTTCATGAATTAACTTGAAGTTTAGCTATCATATATCTTTTATTGTCCCATGCAGTTTTATTTCAATGATAATTTGCCAAATATTTGAGTGTAAGATTGTTGGTATGAAAATCTATTAGTCTATTTCCTGAATCCGTCCAATTCATCTTCTGTCTTCAGTAAATGACACCTGAAAATGTAGTGGATGTGAGCTGTGTGACTCAGTGATGTTTCTGATGGTCATTGCTGGAGTCCACCAGGTGGTGGCGCTGTAGGACAAACACACAGCTGCTCTGTACAGGTGTGAAAGAAACATGTGAGTTGTTTTATTTAAGATGTTGTAACCATAGACTGTATATAAGTCTATGGTTGTAACCGGTACAAACTCTACCGTTGACTGTATAAAAATGTTTGTTAGTCCGTGTTCAGAGTGTAAAAAGTCTGAGTCTCGCTGTGTCACTCAGGCTGAACTACAGCGTCTATTCACGGGCGCGAACCCACTACTGAGCGGCACGAGGGCTTTGACCTGCTCCGTTTCCGACCTGGGCCGGTTCACCCTTCCTTAGACGACCTGCTGGTCCCGGGCTCCCCCAGGATCAGCATATCGATACCGAACTTAGTGCGGACACCCGATCGACACAGTACACTGCAGCTCAGAGCTCCTGAACTCAAACGATCCTCCAGACTCAGCCTCCCGGTGACTTGGATTACAGGCGCGCGCCACCGCACCCGGCGACAGACAGCACGAGTCTGTGGATTCAGACTCTGGACGTCCACGGTCAGCGTGTTCAGACTGAATCCACTATCCGAAGTTTATAAAACTCAAAAAACGACAAGAAAAAAACATCCTATATGTATAGTTGAGTCATTTTTGATTAAACGAGCCCAAGTCACGTTATGAATCACATCATTTCTCTCCCTCAATAACTTTCTATTGAATTCACCATTTAGATCATCATTTTTGTTCAAAACCTGCTCAGACTGTTGACTTCCAGATGTTTCTGAGCTCCTCGAGTTCAATGTCCAAAGACTTAAAATCTGTTTTCTACGATTTGAGGATTACCAACAGTGGCGATTCTAGACTAAATTACTCCCCGGGCGAGCACCCCGCACACACACACACACACACACACACACACACACACACACACACACACACACACACACACACACAAAAAAGATAGAATTTTGAACAGATAGTTTTGTATTATTATGTAATATTATTATGATTAGAACAACAAAAATAAAACATTTCTCAATTGCAGAAATCCTTCAATGGAAAAAAACACAATCCTGAGGGCCATTTTGAGAAGGGCCCCCAGATCCTGAGGTTTTCTGAAGTGTTAAGGTTTACAAAAAAGATGCTATCTCGGCCTCTGTAGTAGATAGAAACAAAGTTCAAAAAGTATTTGAGAGCTTATACATGTGGCTTTCAAGAAAGCTCTCCTTTAGTTTTGCGAACCTTCATCACATTTTTGAAAACCTTGAACAAACAAACTTAAATGAAATAAAGCGGCTGTATAAATAAAAGTAAAGACTCTGCACTGAAGGATGACAGATAATTTGCTTTCTGTAAAACAAGTGGCAGTCATGATAAAGTGTCCATTCAATACAAATGTAAATATAGAAAATAAGGTGTTGAAAGGGTAAACAGCTGCCCCAGTATAGTGCCAGTACAAAAGCAACTCTAAAAACTAGATTAAATACGTGGCTGACAGTGTGTTCATCTCTGTTCTCACCCAAAGTCATGCAACACTCAGAAATTGCGATAGTGTGAGCCAAAGCACTCCATATGAAGAGTTTGTTCACACTGCTGGATGTTTCTCCTCTGAAGCTGCTCTCTGCTTCAGTCATTGTTTACTTTACTCACGAAGCGCTTAGCAAGATCCAAGCGCTTTACTCGCCTATCAGAGGCAGACGGGTACGGTGATTTGATTCACCACGACTCCAGAAATGATTAAGAAACTACAAAATGACGTCTCCGCGCTTCCGGCTTAAAAGCAGCAATGCGCAGCCGCGCTCCCGCTGATATACTGACATGCGTACACAGAGCAGAGCTGTCCCTCCGTGACTCTCTCCTCGCCTCGTCTCACACAGTCTGTCAGCCTCTGTGCAGCACCTTCGCAGCAAGCAGGGGCGCCTACAGCAGCGGAGGGGCGCCAATTTGACAACAAGAGTTAATAAAAAAACGCTTTGCAGTTAAGATTTATTATTATTATCTTTTATTTTACTTTTTTGGAAGTGCTCGTGCCGCCCCCCATGAGTCATGACACAAATGGGCGGCTGCCCTGTTCGCCCGTGCCTAGAACCGTTACTGATTACCAACATATTTGTCAAAATGCTTTTCTTTTGCCATTTCGGTCGGATTGTTTGTAATTTTCTCCAACTACAGTTTGCAGATCGGTGTTTTGACAACACAGAGAATATTTTCAGGCCATATTCCACCTCTGTTATGAGTCCTGTATTGACAAAATGGGGGCAAGTTTTGCTGGGTTGGCATGAAGTATGTGCACACTCTCACATATGAACAGTAGCCAACATAATGACCCTTTCTATCTAGGACAAGGGATGGAAAATGTTATATATATATATATATATATATATATATATATATATATATATATATATATATAGTCATGTTGGCTGATACAGATATCAATACTAATAGACCCCAATGTTTCTCCTGTAATAGAATCTATCTGTTACTCTTATTGTGAAAGTCTTTTTTAATAACTGACATAAATCAAGACATTTAATTCAAACAGAAATGATAAAAGTATTTTGTTGTAATTATAACCATTCAGTTGTATGTTTATTGATGCAGACATTATTATGCATCTCTAGTTATCATCTATAGCTCAAGGCTAAAGCCTAATAGCATATACTTATTTTCAGCAGTCATCAACATACCTCTCCTCTGAAAACATAGAGAGGCCGTATCAGTATTCCTTCAAATGGGTAAAATATCGTATATAAATTGAGAACCATCCATAAAAGGTGTAAGTTGAAGCTAAGGCCTAATGCACCCACCATTTTTTATAACATTTGACAACTTAGTAACTGTTTAAAATAAAGAAGCTCAGATTTAAATTTAATAAAGTAGTTACAAATCCAAGCTATTAAAATTCAACACTACCCAAATGTGTTAAATCTTTAATTCCAACTGGTTAAAACTCTGTAAGTCTTTTTTTTTTCCAGCAAAAGTGACCTTAAGGAAAACCTGATCATATTCAATCAGTCCATTAGAGGGAGTCCAGCACATTTCTCCTCAGCTGTGGCAAAGACTGTAGTTTCCATCTCTTCTTAGTCCTTGGTAAATAATGAAAGTGACTCGACACAGATGTGAAAGCTGTCCAATGATATATCTGGTCTGTAATTGGATAGAAAAAATCATGTATGTACATAGTTTTACTGTTACTATAACATTGGGTCATGTAGGATATTAACCAGAATTTCTCTTCCCTCCTCTGTGTGCGTCTGTGTTATCAGTGTTTTACATGTAAATTAACCACCTGTTATTTTTTATGTAAAATAAAACATCAGGACCAGCTTCCAAAAGTTCCTGGGCCTCTGGAAAGTGCTAGTCCCTAAGAAGGGGCTATGTAAGGGGTAGCTCTTTCATCCCAGAGGACCGCGGTCCCTGGGTGAAGGTGCACAGATGTCCTGGGGAAAGTTCCTGCGGTCAAAAAGCATCTTCTGATGGAGAAGTGGGGCAAGATGTTGTCCTGCAATCCAGGCTGAGATCTTTATGGTGACAATGAAAATTTATGAAATAACCATATTTTGTGACAACTTGTTTGTCCTTATTTGCTTGTCTTTAATAATACG